TAACTAAGCTTAAATAGTAGCTAGTTAGCTTAATTCTTAATAGATATTATATAAATAAGGTAGGTAAAGAACTATAAGTAGATTATAATATACTTCTTCCTTATCTACTAGTTAAATTAAAAGTAGAATAGAGTACTCTACTCTTAATAAAGCTCTTTCTAGTTTACTTTAAATAAAATATTCTAAGATATAGAGTCTAGTTTAGTAGTAATAATAGAGTAATATATAACCCACCTAATAGTTATATATATAACCCTAAGCTATTCCTTATCTATATTATCCTTAAGATCCGTCTTATTCTAGCCACTACACTAGTTAGGTCTAGGCTATATGGCTGACTTACTGCTTTTAGGCGTGTATTAAATAGAGAGAAGACTATATAGGAAATCCTTCTTATTACTAAAGTTCTAAAGATAACTAACTACCCCTAACTAATAGAACTATAAGTTTAGTGCTACTAAGTCTCCTAGGTCGTTAATACCTTCTACCTCTTACTTCTTAACTTATAACCCTCTTACTTAGAATAGATCTAGTATAGAGTTAGCCTAGATTTCTATTATAGCCTCTTTATTTTCTAACTCTACTAGGTTAAGATTCCTTACTACCTTAAAGTATCCACTCTAGGCTCTAGCTATAAAGAACTACTAGTAGACTACTTTACTTCTTTAGAGTATATTATTATACTCTTTACTTATTAGACTAGTAGTCTAGTAGCCTAAGGGGAGCCTCTAATCCTAACTATATATAACCTAAAGATATTTATAGATCCTCCTTAGTCTAGACTTAATATATTTATAGTCTAGTATAAATATATAGTAGTAGCCACTAGGGTTAAGTAGTCCTAGTACTTTAATTAAATAGTAATAATCTTTAAGTATAAGTATATTATAACTATTTACTTTATTCTTTACTATATTAAATCTTAATACCTACTACTCTACTCTTTTAATATTAGCCACCTTAAGTAAGGATAGTAGTACTTAAAGATATAACTTAATACTATATCTTAGTACTCTAGTTTAGTATATTTAGTAAACTAGTAATTAAAAGTCTTCTAGTATAGTAAAATATTCTATTATAAAAGGATATTATAATTAGAGTTTACTTTATAGATAACTTTTCTACTTATTACCCCCTAATCCTTATATAATAGCTCTAGGATTATAAACTTAACCCTAGTCTATTATACTTATAGGCCCTAGTCTATTACACTTATAGGCCCTAGCCTAGTAGCCCCTAACTACTTCCTTCCTTAGGCACTACTATACTACTATAATTATACTAGGACTAGAACCGCCTATAATATACCTCTAAAGTTAATAATAAATATATTACTTACTCTTACTTATAAGAAAACCTATTTCCTAAGTTTTTAGGCTCTTTAACTACTAGCTTAATACTACCTAAGTATTTATTATCTATATATAAATCTATATATTACCTACCCTATATTATACTAGTACTATCTTATCTCTTACTTAAAGTTAATTATTAGCTTTAAGATAATAATACCCCTTCTATTAGGCTCTTTAACCACTGGCTTAACACTACCTAAGTATTCATCGCCTATGTGCGAATCTATACGTCGCCTACCCTATATTATACTAGCGCCATCTCATCTCCCACCTAAAATTAATCGTCGGCTTTAAGACGATAATACCCCTTCTATTAGGCTCCTTAACCGCCGGCTTAACGCTACCTAAGTATTCATCGCCTATGTGCGAATCTATACGTCGCCTACCCTATGTTATACTAGCGCCATCTTATCTCCTACCTAAAATTAATCGTCGGCTTTAAGGCGATAATACCCCTTCTGTTAGGAATGCCTAGGGTCCTAATGTTAATAATAATAGCTATAAATAATGCCTAGGGTTTTTATATATTATATTAAGTTCTATAAAGTTTAAATAAGTCTTATATACTATAAATACTCTAATATATTATTTACTATTTAGTTAATAATATAATAATTAATAGTTCTATTTACTTTATTCTTTATACTTAATTATTTAGTATTAAGTTAGTTATTAACTTTAATAAATTTATTAAAAGTATTAAATTAATTATTCTTTATAATTTTATTTTTTATATTCTTTTATAAAGTATTAAATAGATTTAGTTTATTTAAAGACTTTAAGTTTATATATAGTAATATATATTTTATTTAAGTCTTTAAAAGTAGTTTAAAGTAATTCTTTAAAATATTTATATTATTTAAAGATTTATATAATTTTATCTTTAAATTCTTTATTATTAAAATAGTCTTTAAGAGTTAACTCTTATTATTCTATTATTCTTCTTATAAAGAAGTTTTTAATATAAAGTATTTTTTTAACTATAAAGTTAATTATAATAGTATTTATATATAAATAAACTTTAACTTAAATTAAGAAGTTTTAAATATTTCTTTTAGTTCTATTAAATATATTAAATTTAAAGAACTTAAAAAGTATAAAAGTTCTACTATTAATATTCTATATAGTTTAGATTTAAATAATAATAGTATTAATTTACTATTTATACTATAATTAAACTAGGGTTAGTTATTATATTACTATTAGTAAATATTATAAAGATTAATCATTTATAGTTTCTTTAAAGTACATTACTAAATAGACTTTATTAAAATATAATAATAATTTAATCCTAATCTATAGTTAGTTTATTTTTTAAAAAGGACGTTAAGTTAAGTGTATAGAGTATAAATAAGTAGTTATTATAATATAAATTATTTTAAAAAATATCTCTTAATAGTAGAGTTATTATTTAGATTAATTAGTAGAGATTTAGTTTAACTATTTACTAGAAATCCCATTCTTTATATATTTATTCTATTCTCTACTATATTACTTAGATTATTTAGTTTACTCTATAATCCTAGTAATCTTAGATTAGTACTAGATTATTATAATCCCTAGTAGTCTAGTTATATAACTAGTTCCTTTATTCTTATACTTTTAGAAGTACTCTATAGTTACTTTATTCGCCTATTTTACCCTTTATCTATAGTACTTTAGTCTATTTATAATAATTATATTAATAGTATCCTCTTTAAATAATAATTATAATAATAATAATAATACTATAAATATTTTACTTTTTTAATTTAAAGGTTTAAAAGTTATTATAGTAAATACTAAAGGAGTTATTAAAATATATTTAGTATATAGTATATAGTTACTTTCTTTTATTTTTATATTAATATAGTTAGGGATTTAAGCTATATCTATATATAATATACACTTATAGACTATCTATAATAAATACTAACTACCTTTATTATTTTTGCCCCACTTACGGTTAGACTCTAGGCTGTTCGACTTAGGATTTACTATGTGTCTGTCTGTATACGGCCGCGCGGATCCCACAACTAGAAAGTAGTCTTCGCCAGCCACAGACCTCGATAGCTACGCCTCACTAAACGCTTTAATGCCTGTAACTTGTAAACCGAGAAACACACTGTAGAAAATCAGGACCAAAGTGCAAGATCGACCTCGCGAGCCATCTGGCGGGCTTTCCGGCCGGCGTGGTGGGCGTTGGTGGCGTGGAGGCGGCTAGGCGGCGGACGGCGATACGCAGCAGGGCGACTTCGGCTGACCCTGTGAGCTAGGAGGTGGCTGTGAGGGAAAACCGGACGAAGGCTGTTCGCTAGACAGCGGGATAAGAATGTCATCGTCGTTATCCTGGGCAGATCTCGTCTTGCGGCGGGGATCGAGAGGAGCGTAGATGCGGCGCTGAGGTGTGCGGAGAAGAATGACGTGGTCAGTGGGAGATATGTCCGCATATAGAAGACCATATCGACGCCGTTGAAGGACCACCGCTCGCTGGTGCGGGTAACGTGGACGGTGCCATCATCCGTCCGGTAAGGGCCACGGCGCGGTCGTCAAGTCTCTACGCGGCCTGAACCGGACTGGCTTTAAGACGCAAATCACCATCGACAACGACGGGGGGGTCTCACGGCAGTACATTGGCGCAGCGGCGCTGTCATGCTACAAGGCATCAGCTCCCAAAACAAGCCCTTTTTTCCCGGCAGCTCCGACCGAGACCCCGACTGAGCACCCGGCCTAGCAATCACGGCAACACGTCAGAAAGCTCCAGTTTGATACAAACAGCTTGAGCCAAGAGCAAAATCTGGTGGCTGGCTGTACATTCTATCTATAACTGCCTTGGGGCCCATGTCTGTAGAGAACAAACGCTGCAACGCAACCTAACAACGTGGTCTAGGCCGACCTTGTTGTACGAGTTGAGGAGGGCGAGGTCAAGTAGGATTTGCACAGTTTTGAGTTGGCTAGCAATCGTTGGGTTCGGCTAAGTGTTGCATAAGTGATGCTTTAACGCCTGCCTTAACGCCTGCCTCGACGCCTGCCTCGAAAAAGCTCAGAGCTCGAGTTCCAGCCTCATAGGCCTTCGACAGGCAAAGACACAAAGTATAGCCTATTTTACTAGGATTAACCCTGCAAAATTCCCTGTATCGACGACATGCACTATTTCAAACACAGGAACAATGGTCTCTATTCTTACACAAATGGTCTGGAGGAATTCGGGCCTCCCAAAATGCTACTGTGGTCGTATAACGAGTTAATTATTGACTGGACAGTATTCATTAACCTTGACTCATTAATGGTACGACACAGGCAGCATAATCTGTCTACTACAGGGTTTCTGCACCTTTGACCCATGAAGCTACATTACAAACCAAGCCTTAATTAATAATTTTTAAATGAGGGTAGGCGACCATGTCAAGATAAGCGCTTGGCACCATGCGTGCGCGAGTACGCCAGCCATGACGCTCTTGACTCGAGTTTCGTCTACATATAGGCGAGAATAAGATGTATACCAGTGAATAGTATAAATATCTCATCTTCGATCACAAAAATCGACTTTCATGTAGTATATTCTAAGCCTCTCACTCGAGCTAATTCTTTTTATATAGAGACCTCCTAAGTATCCGCTCACTTGAACCACATTCATTACATCTCGATCAGAACCAACTAAGCAAGATGCGCTTCGCACCGCTCATTGGCGTCTTCACGCTCAGCCAGGCCATTCCCCAGGCTCCCCCGGGCACCCGCTCCGTAGCTACGAAGCGGGCCGGCGACTTAAAGGTGGTCCTCCTCGCCGACACTAACCGTGACGGCAAGGTCGATATGACGGGCGACTCGGACCGCGTTGACAAGGAGACGTGGACTGCCGAGTCCGGCGCGCTGTTCCTTGCCAACATTGCTGACACGAACCGCCGCTGCTCGTCCCAGATCACGGGACGATGCGCGGCGGACCTGGGCGATATCTTCCGCGAAAATTTCGTGGCCCCCCCCGAGCCGACCATCTTCGGGAAGTCCTACAAAGAGTGGGTGAAGGAGGTGTTGAAGCTCAAGAACTCCCAGGACAAAAAGGACCAGGAAGAGTACGAGGCTCAGATAAAAAGCCCTGAGTACGCCGCGTACGCACGCGAGTCTGTGGAGTGGAGGTGGGCGACGGGCGACGGGGCCCTTATCGAGATGTGCCACGATGCCTCGGACAACGTGGTGCGCAACTCAGCGCTGCTCGCACCGCTCCGGACCGTCCCGAACCCCGAGCTGAGCGACGCGGCCACCGGGTCTATCACCGTCTCGGGCGAGGCGGCCGCGTTCAAGGTCCGCATCTTCCATAAGAAGGGGGGCAGCTGGGAGTACGTGGGCCCCGACTACGCCTTCTCGGCCGGAGATATTAAGGCCGGCCTCGAGCTCGGCCTGGACGGCCGTGATGTTCGCCGCCCGAACGGGTGGGACGGTAAGGCCCTGGTCAAGTTCACGATCCGGGACGGGGACAGCCACGCCACCGACTCGGTGGCGCTCCGCGTCGCCCCCGTGCTGACGCACCACCACGGTCAGCTCGCCGAGCAGCTCTTCGCGTCGAACAATGGCAAGGCGGAGCAGCAGCAGTTCGTTAAAGACATCGAGGCCGTGTCTAATAGCGCTGGGATGAAGAGCCCCGTGCACACCTTCGACACTAAGCAGTGCTACTTTGGCAAGGGCACCGAGGGCTGGACCCAGGACTTCTTCGAGCCCGGCTACACGAGCATCCCGGGCCCCGATGGCCCTGTAGGGCTGCGCATCATGATCCGCTCCTCGCAGGCTCGCCGCGATGCAGGCCGTAAGCTCTTCCAGGAGCTCCGCTCCGGCGAGGTCGGCGTCGTCCAGCACTTGGTCAACGGCTTTGAGTCGGGAACCGTCGAGTCGATGGGCAATCTGGAGACGATCCCGCCGTACACGCACAACGGCAAGGCATATCCCGCGGGGCGGACCATCATTGGGTCGCAGACAGGCAAGAAGCCAGTCATGATGGCCTTTCTCGAGGCCCAGGAGGTGCAGCAGCCGCTCCAGCTCGATACCTCGTGGCTCGTTGTTGGCCACGTCGACGAGTTCCTGCAGTTCCTACCAGCCAAGTCTGAGCGCAAATGGGTCATGGTGGTCGATGATCCGACGGCAGGACTTGAGCTGCTCCAGAAGGCGCAAAAGGCCGGCCACGGCGCTGTCAAGGCCGTCTCTCGGCCCAGCAAGCCCTCGGACCCGGCCCACAGAGTTTGCACCCCTTCCGATACTATCGACCAGGTCTTGGAGAAGAAGGATTTCGTCGCCTTCCAGGACAGCTCCGCCCAGGCGATCCAGAAAAACATTGACCTCATCAAGCAGGATACGGGCATAACCGACGCCGAGATCATCCGCCTTCCGGCTCTCTACTACCCCGGGACCGGCCCGTACGTCCACTGGAGGTGCGAGAAGAAGGGCAGCTACTGGCGCCGCGACCTCGAAGCTCGCGCTGAGCAATCACCACCGGAGAACGCCGAGATGGCAAACATCCTCGGAGAGCTAGACGCGATCCCTGTGTCCGTCGACGGCGCGACGGCGCCTGCCCAGCCTCAGCGCCGCGCCACGAGCCAGGTCGCCACGCTCTACCCCGGCACTATCAACGGCATCGTGCTCAGCGACAGCAAGGTGCTCTCGCCCAACCCGTGGGGGCCCGTCATCGACGGTAAGGACATCCTGGCCGAAGCCACCAACGCAGCCTACGCTAAGGCCAACTTCACCGTCGAGTACATGGACGACTGGTACACGCACCACGTTAGTTTTGGCGAGGTCCATTGCGCCACGAACACTCTTCGTGAGACGACTGGCCAGTGGTGGTAGCCGTCGATTCTATAGTCATCCAAGTTGCTCGTTAGGGTTAGGGTTATTAGCTTCAGTATTAATCACCGTCCTCAGTTCAAGTGGAAACCTTTTCGAGTTGGTTGATGTATTGATGTACGCTCAGCAGCATCAGCAATCTAACAACGTTATTGAACCTCGAGTCACGTAGTATCCTGTCTCCTGGACGTGTTGCCACTCGACTGTCGCAGAGCCCTTCGCTCCAGGCGCTACATTACGAAAAAAAAAGACAGGCCATCGGCTTTGAAGGCATCTATGTCATTCGTCCTAATAAAATGAAGCAGTAGGGACATGATGATAGTATCGATTGATTGCGCTGATGATGCTAGAACTAAGTCCTTGTGGAGGGCAGGGAGCCCCTCCCTACCTTGGTGCCTAGCGCGATCCCTGCCTCAATCCATCTAACTATGTACAGTAACAGTCGGCACTGGCACACTGGTCGATCGGTAGCTGGTGACCCCGCGCTATAAAGCCTATTACCATCGACAGCTACGAATTACACGTGCCCGCACCCCCTGTTCCACCCAGTAACTAGTGTCATCACAACAGCCTTTTCTGCGGCGCCGAGCCACTGTAACACCACGATGGAGCCGGAGGGCTTCTATCTCGGCTAGGTCCCACTGGAGCAGGAGCGGGAGCGGGAATGAATTAGTGCATCCTCTCCCTGCTGGGCTGATGACATTAATATAAGAAAAAGGAGCTGCGCGTCTAGCTTTTTATATTCCTTTGCATACTCCTCTTCCCTTTCCATTATCTTGCACGATACACATCCGAAAATGGCAATCCAAGACTATGATGTCGTCATCATTGGCGCCGGCATCTCTGGTATCAACTTTGCGTATAGGCTAAAGGAGCGCAACCCAAACCTCACATACTGCATCCTCGAAGCGCGCAGTGAGATTGGTGGAACATGGAGTCTCTTTAAATACCCTGGTAAGTTCTTGTCCCAGCCGAGGTGCAATTATTAAATGCAAATTCTCAACGTGATTCATAGGTCTTCGGTCAGACTCTGATCTCTACACTTTTAGCTTCCCGTGGAAGCCCTGGGCGTCGCCAAAGTCCATTGCGCAGGCTGACCTGATCCTCGACTACCTCCGGGAGGCGGTGCAGGAGCAGGGCATCGACAAGAAGATCAAATTCAATCACAAGGTCAAGAGTCTCGACTTTAACACCAGCGCCAAGTCATGGACCTTTACCTGTGAACATGACGGAAAGGCCGTCTCCGTCCGAAGCCGCTTCACGCTGGTGGGCACAGGATATTACGACTACGACGAGCCTATGCAGGCCACCATCCCGGGGATTGAGAGCTTCAAGGGCCCCGTCATCCACCCGCAGTTCTGGCCTCAGGACCTCGACTATACAGGCAAGAACATGGTCATTATTGGCTCTGGCGCCACCGCCGTCACGCTCGTGCCGTCGGTCGCCGAGAAAGTCTCCCACGTCACGATGCTGCAGCGCTCACCCGGCTACATCCTCTCCGTGCCCGGCGAGGGCATCTTCGAGTGGATCACCAAGGCTACCCTCCCCGTGCGCCTCGCCAATGCCATCATCCGGTTCAAGTGGACCCTGGCTGGGTTCCTGCTCATCTGGCTCTGCCGCAACCTGCCGGGCCTCACCCGGCGCGTGATCCTGCGACGTGCGCGGGGCGAGCTCCCCGCCGGCACGACCATGGACCCGGACTTTTCGCCGCGCTACAACCCGTTCGACCAGCGCATGTGCCTGTGCCCGGACGGCGACTTCTTCCAGGCGCTGCGCAGCGGCAAGGGCAGCGTCAAGACGGGCGAGATCGCGGGCGTCACGGCGCGCAGCATCCGCCTCAAGTCAGGCGAGGAGCTGCACCCAGACGTCATCGTAACGGCGACGGGCCTAAAGCTGGCGCTGCTGGGCAAGGCGGCGCTGTCGGTAGACGGTGCGCCGGTGCGCGTGCCGGAGCGGCACGTGTGGAGGGGCTCGATGCTGGAGGGCGTGCCGAACCTCTTTTTCTCGTTCGGCTACGTCGACGCCAGCTGGACGCTCGGCGCAGACGCATCAGCGCAGCTCGCGAGCCGCATCATCTCGGAGGTGCAGCAGAGCGGCAACAGGGCCATCTGCCCGCGACAGACGGAGCAGGAGCTCCGGACGATGAAGCCGCTGCCTTTCATGTATCTCGAGTCGACGTACGTCAAGAAGGGCTTGGGCGTGGTTCCCAAGGCCGGAGATGCAACGGCGTGGCTGCCGAGGCGGCTATACTGGCGCGACATCACGCATGCTAGGTGGGGGGATATTCGGTCGAGTACGGTTTGGTCGTAGATGAGAGAAGGGGTTCAGATTTTGGCAACTGAAGTAGCGATGTAGTTAACATGTCTTACAGTAGGGTTAACGCTGAAAGTTTTTCCTTGGCTTTTTTTTTAAATTTCGCAATCTCGCCGACGGGTCGGGGAAAAGGAGTACGGTACCTGGCTGAACGGGAGCACTATTGTCCCTATTTCCAGGGGAACTCGACAACTAGAATGGCCCGGGCTGGCCTACTGAATCAGCTACATAGCTGATATCCACTGAATATGCCGCGCCGTAGGAAGTCCCTGACATTGCGACCTTACGGATGTTCAATCATCATCGCGCAAATAAACAATAATCGAGACCAGCGTGGTGTGGCCATTTCAAGAACCCCCAGGCCATCTTTCGCTTTACATGAAATGAATTACTACCCAGCCACCCGACCTGCAAGGCCGACCGCGGAACGCTGTCTCTGCTGCCTACCAGGCTTGCCCACCAGCGACCTGATGACGGCCAACATGACTGAACATCTTGCTACGGAAATGTAGCTGTAGGAAGTGAACCATACCCACGACCGGCTGTGTAACCGGGAATGTGCACACGGCCGTAGTTTTTACAAACTTGATATATTTTGTAGGCAACAACAGGCTAGGCAGCTGTCTCAGGCAGGTCGCACGCACTTGCCTCGAGCCGACCTCGTCCGCACGTCTTATAAGTACTGGGCTTTGCCGCGCATCTCTCTTTTGCTCTCATCAAACCAGACGACATCAAGAGAGAGAAAATTTTCAGAACAATGCCTCAGCGTCCTGCTTTGACCCCCGTCCTTCGCAAATTCAAAAATGCCCTCGCCGAGCAGAAACATCTTTATGCGTGCGGCGGCCGCATCCCCATCGCAACACCACCCACTGGCGATGGTGTAAGCGAGGCATCGGCATCAGCATCAGCATCGGCGTCCGCATCCGCACTTCCGCCAAAGCAGTCCGAGCCAGTCACTATTCGATGGGATGCGGGTACTCTTTTGTCCGACAATCAGGTTGTATGCCGGCGAGTTACACTCCCTGCCACCCAGGAATGCGATCGCGATGCCCTCAACACCCTCATCCAGGGCTGCAAGCCGGCGACTTTTGGTCTGGGCAGCCAGGACGTTCTCGATGAGACGTACCGCAAGGCTCTCAAGATGGACATCAGTGCATTCTGTACCACCTTGGACCCTTATTCCCTTGGAATCATTAATACGGTGACGCAGATGCTGCTTCCAAGCTTCGAGGACGCGGAAACGTACCGCGCAGTGGATGCGAGGCTGTACAAGCTCAATGTACGTTACCAGCCCGCACCGCCGCTTCGTCTTGTCCTGTCATGTATCAACTAACAAAATTCGTCTCCCTTTTTCCTCGCCTTTAGATTTACTCTGGTCCCTCGGGCATGTTCAAGGCCCACGTTGACACCCCTCGCTCGCCAATCCAATTCGGATCCCTCGTCGTCTGCCTCCCAGTCGAGCACCAAGGCGGACAGCTCAAGGTCCGCCACAAGGGCGAGGAGACCATCTTCGACTGGAGCACGTCTTCCGACAATGGCGAGACCCCGCACATTGAGTGGGCGGCTTTTTACAGCGACTGCGAGCACGAGGTGATGGAGGTTTCCAGCGGACACCGGCTGACGCTGACGTACAACCTCTTCGCGGTACACGGGGCCGGGCGCTTAACCGGCTTATCATCAGTGCTAGACCCGACGAGACTGCCGCTGCACCACGCCATTGAGAAATTGATCGCGGACGACCCGCTTTCTGGAAAAGGTGCGATAATCGTCTTACTTGACAGGGTTCTACAATGGTAACAAGTGAAACCCCCGTGCTGACCTGAAACACAGGTGGTACGCTAGGCTTTTGGTGCTCCCATGCCTACGCTTACAACGACGCGCGAGAAGCGCCTCTCCCAGCGACACTCAAAGGAGTCGACGCTGCCGTGTGGGAAAGTTTCCGAGCCCTTGGAATCAATGTCAACATTCGACCCATCATACAAGTCGAAGACGAGGTGCGAGAGCTCATCGCCGAGGCGTACGGGGGGAGCTCGGACAGTGACTCGGACAACCCTCGGTACTTGCCCTCGAAGTGGGTTATCGGCAAAGATTTCGGCGTCGAAAATAACCGTGGATATCAGGTAGAGGGCGGAGAGGAGTATGACCAACTATTCAAAGGTTGGGGCTCCTTCAGCGGCCCGATTTATTGGCTGACGGAGCCGCAACATAGCGAGCTCCAGCTCATCTACACGGCGGTAAGTTTTGCCTTGTTCTAATAATTGATGACTGATGATTGATGAGGGAGCATTTTTCGCTGACAATTGATACCAGTATGGCAACGAGGGTTCCGCGGAAACTCTCTACTCGCACTGCGCCATGCTTGTTACCCTGCCCAAGAACAACAAGTCCAAGGCTGGTAAATCGACCAGCAGGGCTGGTAAATCCAGCAAGGCCAAGAAATCCAAGAAATAGGCGTTCTGTACAGATTCCTAAATCTGTGGCAATACTTTTGGTGTATGTAGCTGTCAGTCTAGCTTCTGCAGAAAAGCCCTATTTTAGGTTGCTAGTGTTTACAATGTCAACTGTTTCATTCTATGTTATGCATGTGATGTTGGCAGCTATGATTACGAAGTCTCCGAACCCGTCTTGTGGATCATGGAAGAGGGCACATTTCCAACTAATTACTATTGTTGGTTAGCGGAGTGTTTAGCGGCGCGGGTTTGGCTGTTGCTGAACCGCACCATCGGGGCAATTGCTCGGCCCCCTTCGGCAAAAAAATTGAACTGCATCCACCAACCAAGTGCCGTCCAACCCCATCCATCATCGTCACAAGCCAAGTAGAGCAACACCTTGGAAACTCATCAGTTAACATGGCTGGCTAAAGATCTGTACTTCTTCCCATCGTCAACCTTCAAGCAACCCTGACCGCAGCAGCGAACAAAAACACCGGCAAGATGGGCAGAGCCCAACAACACAACCAACACTCCATGGTCTCGGACTGGCCCAAGGCCGATCCCTCAACCTGGAACCGCGCGCAGCGTGTCATCGATCACCTCAAGCTGTACCCCATCTACCCGGACCAGCCGCCGCCCCAGTTCGCGCCCACGGACAAGATTCCCTTCATGCCTGCCTGGTCGCAGCACCGCTACATCCTCGTCTTCGCCGCCGTGCCGCTCCTCCTGCACCAGGCCTGGGTCTCCCTGACCGGCTGGCCCGTCAGCAAGGTCGCCGCCATCATCTTCTACTACACGGCGTACAAGCTCATCGCCGTGCGTGAGGTGCGCCTCCTGCGCGGGCTCATCTACGAGCACGGCGTGCTGGACGGCGCGGTCGCTCGCGACGGCATCCCGAACACGGGAACGTGGAAGATCATCGGCGAGCTGGAGAAGACGACGGGCTTCCGTATGGTCCTGGCCGTGCTGCTGACCTACGACCCCAAGGTGTCGCCGCTGGACGCCTTGAGCGACACCAGCACCTGGACGCCCTTCTTCCTCAAGCTCTGCCTGTACGGGGTTACCCTGGACTTCTTCTTCTACACGTATCATCGCGCCTGCCACGAGATTCCCGGCCTGTGGAAGTACCATCGAACCCATCACCTGGCTAAGCATCCTACCGCCGTGCATTCCGGGTTCGCGGACGACGAGCAGGAGATTCTTGAGATCCTCATCGTCCCCTTCCTCACGTACATGACCCTTCGAGCCGTCGGCTTGCCCCTCGGCTTCTACGAGTGGTGGATATGCTTCGAGTACCTCACCTGGGCCGAGGTTTGGGGCCACTGCGGCCTTCGCGTCCACGGCATCGTCCCGTCGCCCATCTCGGCCGTGCTGGGTCTGCTCGACATGGAGCTGGCGCTTGAGGACCACGACCTGCATCACCGCAAGGGTTGGAAGAAGAGCTTCAACTACGGGAAGCAGACGCGGGTATGGGATCGCCTGTTTGGCAGCTGCACGAGCAGACTGGAGGCGAGCAAAGACAACGTCGACTACGGGAAGCTCGTGCCCATGCCTCTGAGTTAGCATAGCCAAGTTAAGATGAACTTGACACAATTAGACTACTGTGATTCAATTTCGCGCATTTACCTTTGCACTTTAATTTCATTGTCACGGCCATTGTAATTTGATATCAACTACAACTGCCTTGGCGTACAGCGTTGGTCTTGCAACGACAGCGCCGGATGAACCACCCACGCCGCTGACACTAAGTCTGCAGTCAGCCTACTTAACCCATCATCGAGGACCACGCTGCAATTAACAAGGAGCAAAAATACAACTAATAACTTAAATTTCCTCCCTTTCTAACTAGTGGACATAAAAATTGGTCACCTCGTCCTCGCTGGCCCTCAGCTTCTTGTTGCGCCTCAGCATAATCGCCTTCGCTACCCACGCCAACAGCGCCGTTGCGATGCTGAACGCCGCGCTGCTCGCCATCGCGATCGCGTATCGGGGCTCGTCGCTCTTGGGCCACAGGTATGGCGTCCAGATGAAGCTGATGTTCATGATGGTCGTCACCATGCCGATCGCCGCCGCCTTCTTCTCCTTGGTCTGCCCACACACGCTGCCGCACCACCCGAGGATCAAGCTGTTGACACCGTACGTGCCGATGGTGAAGATGATCATCGATACGTAGCGCCCGACCGTGTTGAGCGTCGCCGCCGCGCACGCAAAACCAATGACCGCGACCGACTTGGACACGGTAATGTGCCACGTGCGCTCGTTCATCTTGCCCGACGACCACGAGAGGAGGATGGTGACGGCGCCGGCGATGAGGTATGGCGGGCAGGTGAGCACCAGCGTGATGGTCGTGTTGAACTTGAGCGTCTGCACCACGGTAGGGAACTGCAAGAGTCGTCAGAAAATATGGTCGCATCCACGGTCTTTCGCCAAAGACTTACAAAGTTCTTGAAGCCGTTGGCGGCGAGATGCATGTGCGCCATGGAGCAGAAGATCCAGACCACAGGGTCCTTGGCTGCCTGTTGGAGACCTTTCCACGCGCTCGTCTCGCCCTTGTTGGCGACCGTATCCAGCTCCATGCGGTTGTATGCTAGCTCCCGCTCCTCCTGGGTGAGCCACCACGTGGTCAACGGGAAGTCCGGTAGCAGGAAGAAGCCGCCGATGGCGATAAGAAAGGTCACGGCACCCTGCAGGATGAAGAGCCACTTCCACCCGGCGAGCCCCGCGGCGCCGTCCAGGCCGTGGAAGATGCCCGCAGCGATCAGTCCGGCAAATGCGGTCGCCAGAACGTTGCCAGTATAGAGGATGGCAATTCGCGTGGCGACCTCCTTGCGGGTGTAGAAGATGGAGATGAGATAGACCGCGCCGGGGTAGAATGGCGCCTCTGTAACACCGAGGAAGAAGCGCGTCAGGAGGAGACCAATATAGTCCTTGGAGACAGCTGTGAGACCGCTAACGATGGCCCAGAGCATCATCATAACTCCCTGGTAGGAATGAGGTTAGTGCAAGGACGCACGAGGAGGGATCGGCAGTCTGGCAGCCTACCATGTAGCGACTCGGACGAGTGCGGGTAAGGAACATGTTGGAAGGAATCTGTCCAAGAATATAGCCGACGTTGAGGATGGATACACAGGTCTGGTACTCTGAAGTTTGGCATTAATATTGTCTTTCGCAGGAGGCCGGGAGCCGGAAGCTGCATACGTGTGCTGGTCAAGTTCAGGTCTTTTTCGAGGTCGTTCAGCCGTGCAAGTGCAATGGCATTGCGGTCAAGATAATTAAGCCAGTACATGGCCCATAGCATTGGCTGTTGTGGTTCTGGGTTAGCCTTGAACCTGACCTCTCGTTTGCCGCCGTTTGAGAGATCATCGAGTGACAGACTTACCATAATCCATCGATCTAGCTTCTTGACGAGGGCAATTTCCTTGGGGTCGGTCTTCTCATGGGCACCCGAATAGTCGACCTTTTCCACTTGAGGGACTCTCTTCTGAGGATAGTCATCCTCAACAACCATGGGCTCGTTTTGCTGTTTCTCCGGCTGAGCCATGGCGATAGGAGATTGAGATTCAACGTGAATAGAAGTAAGGAGTCGGACAAAATAGCAGCAGAAGATATTGCCTTTCGGTATGGTGTACCAAAAGATGCGGAGAAACTGATAGAGGAGTTCTATGATGCTACCAAGTCACCAGATCCAGCGAGCCCTCGAACTTTATAGTCGATTCGAGACAATCAAGGCCAAGAGAATTTAGCAGCAGATGGCCAAGGAGGCGGTGAAACAACGTGGAGGTCGACCATTGCCAAGATAGAGCTGAGGCTGCACGCGAACATGATAACTGTTCAAAAGCCGTGGTCTGATACAGCCCTGTTGTTGTAGGATCTTTGGGAAGTCGGTATTGTGCTGATTGGCTGCTGTCTCGATCCACACACCATTGCTACTGAATCAGGACATGGGCAAAACAAGTCGCTTCCCCCGCATGCATGGCGCCACCATCCAGCAAGGCCATGTCCTAGGGTCGAGGAGTCGCCTGGGTTGACCGTGATGGCGCACAGGAGCCAAGATGTGGCGGTTGGCCAAGATGTGGCGGAGGCCTCGACTCCCTGATGAGGCATCTCCCCCGCGCAAAAGGCGAAACAGGTACGTGGGGGGGAGCGTTATTTCAATGGCCAAGGCCGATATGTTCCGCTGAAAACTATGCTGGCCAAGGAATTTATACAGCTCCCAATTTGCCCAGAGTGCGGGATTCTGTTTGCGGCGCAGGTTCCTCGCTGGTGGCGTTGCACCACAGCGCAGAGCCTCACAGGGTTATTGCGCCGCCAGATATACCAGGAGGGGCAAGCTTGTAGTCGAGTCGGTAGGTGGCATGAATAGAGAATAGAGACCAATGACAAGTGATCTCGCTTGGGTGGAACAGAGAGCTCGATAGGTCGCACTGCGGATGGACTAGCACGTGGAAATGAAACCCTGTTTGCCGAATCCGGGGCAATGCAGATATACCTAGGATCAGGTTAGCAGATGGATGGATCATGGCAGCGAATATCCCCTCACTGATTCAGTGCTTGACCCCATTACCCCAACCTCTTGATGGGGCCGTTCAACCGTCCCCGCAAAGGCACAATAGTTTATACGGCGGAGACGCTGTAAGGGTTGCCAACTAACCTCGCCAAGCCCGTGGCCTTGACCTGAGCTCTGGTGAAGCCTTTCCTATGCAGCAACTAGAACTAGAACTAGTTGAAACTAGGCTCCGAAATCACCCTACCCACGAGTGCCGGATGAGGCTGAAATTAACGCATTTACCGAAATACTTACCGGGAGTGCTAGGGAGCTTAATCTGAAGGTACGAGTATCGTATCTGCAACTTGACTTGAAGGTGAGCTTTGCGCGGTTACCCTCAGAACAGAAACAGCACATTGTCATGTAGATCCAATTACTTATGGTGCCACCAAGTGACTCGCACTGCAATGCAACCCGCTGCGCCGCACAGACAATCACGAGCGGGCTATCGTCAGTGGTCATCATGCATTCCAACAGCAACAAGGCATGGGGCCGCTGATAAAAATACTATCTTCGAAAAAGACGGGGACATTGCAACCATGGGTAGAACTGGGTCTTGCTATTCATTTTCGTCAGCCTTCATTCGCTTGATGTCGTCAAACCCCTTGCCGCGCGCTCTACCAGAAAGCAACCACCTCACTACACCTCAGCCGAGGCGGATCCTCCGCTTTTCTTGGCACAAGTCGACCAGTTTCTGATCATCGTCTGGTGCCGAGTATTGGACAATCCCAACCCTCTCATAATGCGACCCGACATCCCTGACCACGAGGACGAAGTGGGTGTGCGCAAAGACCAGCCCTAGCCAGACGCGGCCGGCACTCAGTTCTCTGTGCAGCTCATCCCCGGCTTCCACCTTTTGCGTCACCTTGAGAAAGTAGACCGGGTCATGCTTGGGCACAAAATCCCTCGTGCCAGCCTTGTTACAAAATTTAGGTTCCCACTTGTTGGCGAGATCAACACTGGCCGTCGGATCGATGTCGTGGATGTGCAAGTATACCGAGTCCGTCTGAATAATGATGCATCTGCTGAGCAGTCCTAGCAGCTTCTGAAATCGGGTCGGGTCGTCCATGCACGCTTTGGCGTCCCTTTCGTCCACCAGACGGCCGTCGCGTAGCTCCAACTGTACCGAAACTTGACTCGGCGGCACTTCCTGTTCGAGATTCTGGCTCCACATGGTCCCTCGCCAGCCCATCCATGACCAGCTTGGGAAAACTTCTCGACGCCTCGCGCCCAAGCCAATCTCCCACTGAAGCGCCGAGGCCATCATCTCGCTCACGGTGCGCTGTGCGTCATATCGTAACGGCTGACCCCACACGTGCCGCATACGATCCGGAAAGACTTGCTGGTAGAGGTTCAAAATCCCCGATGCTGCATTCAGGAAGTCGTTTTGGAAACTAATGCTGCGAGTAGAAAAGTCTCGCAGCGTGTCAAAAAGCCGTTCCAGACGCGGTGGCTGCTCCGCCAGGCCAGAGTAGAGAAGCTCGCATCGAAAAGGCGTGCCAATGGCATCGCCGTAGCTGCTGTCCGTCTCGGCTACCAGGGTTCGTTCCTCCTGAATGGTCTCTCGAAACTCTCGCTGCGTACAGTGGAAGTATACTTGTTCGTCGGTAAAGACGAGTTTCCGGGTAGAAACGAGACCTTCTTGGAACGTCCATGCGCGCGTCGCCCATGTTGTGCCTCGAATAGCTTCCTCAACATTGCGGCCCGTCGACACGATTCGGCGACCAGAACTAGTACTGCTGCTTTTCATCCAGATATCTACTGTGGGCGCTCGATTTCTTGCCCTGCTGATGCCCGGCAGGCCGTAGCTCGGGTCGTTTCCAGCGGCTGCAATGATGGTGACGTACGACATGCCGTAAACATCATGCATGTTCTGTATTTGCTCACGCTTCTCCTCACATTCGTGCTGTGGGATGCAGTACCTATCAATCCAGAGGTAGCCGACGCCCAAGCGAGTTGTCACGGTGATGGCATCTTCTATAGTTTGTGGAAGATTGGTTAGCCTAACGGGCGCGGAACTGTTGGCGGAACTCGAAGCGCCCCAAACGTACGACAGCGCCGCGAAGCTTGCGCCCGATGGCAGCGGCATCAAAATTCGCGTGGCACAATTAATGACGGAGAAACCACGCGGTAGTGTACGCCCTCTCGTCAGGCCGCCGCAGAAGCGCCCGTGACGGTGGATGCAGACGTCTATCCACTCCCTCATGGCGCCGAAGTCGGCATTGTCCGGGTCAATACGGCGGACGCGCAGCCCTGCGCCGTTGAAGGTGGGCGAAGACTCGGCCAAGCAGCCATTGCGGTGCGCCGAGAGTGGCGCATCTATAAGGAAGAAGGGACGCATGGAGGCATGAAGCCTGCGAACAAGGAGCCAGGCCGCATCGCGTCGGCTCTTGGCGCGCCCCAGCACCTGGTCGGCCAGCTGTCCAGTGCCCAGCTCGCGCATCACGGGCCGGCTCAGGGGCTGCTGGGCAAGAAGACTTGGTACAGAGTAGAGGCAATATCGGCCCACGCCAGGGGGACCCGAGCCACTGACCTGGTTATCCTGACTGGCAATGGACGCCAATGCCTCGCAGAACGCGCAATTAGGATCCATGCTGACGGCAGCATAGTCGTCAAAAATGGCGAGACCATTTCTGGCTTCTGGTTCGCTCCAGCGGCCGCGGAAAAGGTCGTCGAGATCAAGGCGTTTGCATCGCTGGCACCATTGGTCTGAGCAGCCCAGGCGGGAGGCCATGCTATCGAAGCGTATGTAAGGGAAGGGCCGTACCCTCTAATGCTAACCAGGGTAATGGAGCAGACTCATGTGTCGCCGCGTGCTGACATGGATGAATTTCTGTATTTTCTGTGGATGTGAGGTGTTGGTGACGGAGCAAGAAATCTACTACATGATGCCTTGCCAGGGTTGCTTGATGCCTGAGGTGTACTGTAGATTCGGTGAACTCCTTCCCTACCCCATTGTACATACATAAGTACCTGCGCGCGCGGGGGGTGTTTTTAGACATGGCTAAAAAGTCGTATCAAGTTGCAAGATGTATTTTCGCCATGTTGATAGCTTGTTAGTGGCTTAGGACGTTTCACAGTGAAAATTTGTATGTAAAATAACGTGTCGAAGCCTCCAGGCTCACAACATGGCAAAAATACATGTCCAGACTAGCAGAGTATTTTTGCCCTGTCCAAAAGCACCCCTCCGCCTGGTACATACATACATCGGCATTTAGGAGTACCAGCACCTTAGTAACGATGATACTTACCTATGAGGTACCTACAAGTGTACTAAGGTTGCCCGCTACCAAGATACCAACTAGCCCTATAAAACGTCGAACCAGCCCTAAGTTATTGATTGACCAGGAAAACAATCCTGCGTTATTAGGTTTTTTATTTACTTAATCATTTTTCGTCCGTTTGAAAGTTTTTGTTGAATTTTCCCCCTTCTGCATGCAATGTGCAAGAGCGAAAATCGTGGATACAACATGCCCATACTGATCATTGGCAGCTTGCTTGGGGGGTTGCCGGTGAGTTGGAACAATCTTCGCATCCGTTCGAGCCTTACCTAGGGAAGCAGACATCGTCGCTATTCGAAACACAAAATATCTTTTGCTGCCATTCCCGATTCAACCTCAGAAAAGGAACGCGAGGCTGTGGAAGAAAAAGAAAAGAAGAAGAAGAAAGAAAAGGAGCGTAAAATGGCCAAGTTGACCTGCCTACCGCTAGAGCTAACCTTGGAGGTCATAATAAGCTACCTCAGGCTCCACAACATGATCCAGCTCAGCTGTGCCAACAAGACACTGCGCACAAAACTGCTGCCACGCATCTTCGAGACTGTTCGTTTCTCCAACGAAGAGGCGACAGCTGCAGCAACGCTCGCCGCCGTCAAGATTCACGGCACCTACACCACCCACATCCAGTTTACTGCCACAAGCGAATGCGAGGATGAGCACGTCGCGCCCGCCCTACCCCCGGCGAGGGAATGCCTAGGCTGCGATCGGCAGCCATCCGCTTCAAGTTCAACTTTGTCCATAAAGGGCACGCCCAGCCCTGGACATGGGGATGCATGAAGGGGTTCTTCCGGGACCTAGAAGACCACTACGCTATCCGTCAAGCAGAGAAAGAATATCAGTGGCGCGCCCTAATGAACGAGACCTGGCGAGCCCTCTCGTTGAACATGTCAATGACGGAGCTTACGGTTGATCGATTCATACCCAAGTGGACATCGGCCTTCGGAACCCGCTCATTTCACGATTTCCTCTCAAGACTCGAAGCGGCCAACTTTCGCGTGCTGGGTGACGGCGACACGGACGGCCCGACCGTTCTTACTGCTCGCTACTACGCTAAAGTGGTCGGACACATGGACGAGATGTTCTTCTGTCACATGCACAATGTCAAGTCCTTGAGCCTACGCGCATCAGCAGCAGCGGTGCTCGGCCTGCTCCCGTACGACACCATCTGTGCCCAGCTACCGCTTCGACCAGGATACATGCCCCGACTGCAATTTTTGGAGCTGCAAAATTGCACCGCCGGTCATGAACTGCTCAACTTCCTAGCTGATCATAGGGAAGAGCTTCGCGAGGTTCATCTTGATCGTTGCTTCGTACGTGAGGTCACGGATATTCTCGGCACGGAACTTCAATCTCAACCGCCTGGCACGTCGATTGTGACTTGCTGGAACGACTTTCTAGATGGTGTCAGAAGTTTGGAGCCTCCTAAACTAACTGCGTTTGTCGCCGGTGGTGTTTGGAGAGGCGACGATTTGGCAAGCTGGGTTGATGAGGATGAGTCGGATGATGATTCAGACTACAGCAATGACGAAGACTGCACTATGGAATTTGAACACAACGACAACAACTACGTCACCGACAGCAGCGGCAGCGGCAGCAGCGGCAGTGCTCATCAGAGTATCTACAATTTATATCCTTTATATGCTCATGGCGATGCTTTGGGTGATGTTGAATTTATCAATCATTGGGGGTGGACGAAGGAGTCAACACAATGTGGACGGGAGTGAGGATGGGAATCTATTAGAGTCAAGCAGCGAAGGGAGCTCCCTGTTGACGGATCAATCAGAGTTTACTAGCGAGGAGGCCGAACTCAAAGGATTTTTCCAGGAGAACCCAGGATTCCCCCTTTTTCCGGTAGGCATTTATTTGCAACCAACATGGGCGCTACTATACCGATGCCGCGTCAACGCTGGAGAAAGCTCAAGGAGGGCAGTGAATTGCGCGCATATGCAGACCTGCAAGACTACATTGGTCGAAAGAGGCATCGCGCTGAAGAATAAAATCATGTTTAGCATCAGAAAATGAGAAAATGGTTTACCAGTTAATGCAGAGTCATAACGTAAACCTCGCCGAGTACGTTGTCGCGTTATCATGATGCCGTTACAGGGTAAGATACTTGCTCATGCGCTGTCCACGCAACCCGCAAGCTGCTGTACTTGTAAGGCGCAATGCCTGCTGGCAGCGCTTACTAACTACCTGGCAGCTATCCACTTTTTCCAAGTCAAGACGCCACAACGAAACAGCTAACATTGATTAGTTACCGCAATTGGAGCAGACAGTAACAGCCCAAACTCAGACATTCACAAACCCCGAGTATTTGCAGCCGCCATCAAACCCAGCGGATCAAGACTGCAACCCCGTCGCCATTGCTGAGCTGCCTCATCTCTGCCTCGTCCCCTTTGCCAAGACACGACGCGACGACACGCAACTGGCCTGCAGCGCCACAGCTGACCGACCTGGGCACGCACCTCGTCCATCCGCTGACAGGTGCTACGCACGCCTCATCCTCTGCTAGGCGCGCAATTCGGATATCATTCGCCGTCTCCTCGATAAGCAACATACGACTCGATCTTGCGCGCATTTCTTCCCATCAAGAACCCGGTCGTCACAATGGCGCAAATAATCCAAGACCTCTTCTACTCCTTCGGCAATTGCCTGAGCTGCTTCCCGGGCTCTCCCACCCTCAAAGTCAACAGTCGCAGCTTCAAGATTCTGCAATTACTCGGCGAGGTGAGCACTCCGCCCCCCTCCCTTCCATACGCACACATACCCTCGTGTATCATGCCGTCCCGATATTCCGTCAACGGACGGCCCCTCTAACGCGCAAACCCTCCCAGGGCGGCTTTTCCTACGTCTACCTCGTCCAAGACCTCTCCACAAACGAGCACTTTGCCCTGAAAAAGATCCGCTGCCCCTTCGGCGCCGAGTCCGTCCAGCAGGCCATGCGCGAGGTGGAGGCCTACCGCCTCTTCCGCCACGTCCCCAACATCATCTCCGCCGCCGACCATGCCGTCGCCACCGAGCGCGGCGCCGACGAGGCCACCAAGACCGTCTACGTCCTTCTGCCCTACTACCGCCGCGGTAACCTCCAGGACATGATCAACGCCAACCTCGTCAACCACTCCAGGTTTCCCGAGCGCCACCTCATGACCCTCTTCCTCGGCGTCTGCAAGGCCCTCCGCGCCATGCACGACTACCACGCCCCGCCCACCGAGCGCATGGAGATGGGCGACGAGGCCGACAATCACAACCGGCTCGGTCCGAGCACGGCCGGTGGCAGCAGCAGCACGGCCAGTCGCGGAAACACGAAACGCACAGAGGAGGACGAGGAGACGGAGCAAGAGAGACCCCTCATGGAATCGGAAGATCAGATTGGGCAAGGCGGCAAGACAAAAGCCTATGCGCATCGCGACATAAAACCAGGTTTGTCCATACGAACCAACCCCCATTCATCACCTCTACCCTGCTAACGTCCTCCCAGGCAACATCATGATAGACGACTCCGGCTCGGACCCCATACTCATGGACCTCGGCTCCGTCGCGCCCTCGCCCATCCCCGTCACCTCCCAGTCCGTCGCCCTGCAGATCCAGGAGACCGCCGCCGAGCACTCCACCATGCCCTACCGCGCGCCCGAGCTCTTCGACGTCCAGACCGGCACCGTCGTCGACACCAAGGTCGATATCTGGTCCCTCGGCTGCACCCTCTTCGCCTGCCTCGTCGGCAAGTCCCCTTTTGAGATGCGCTCCGACGAGACCGGCGGCACCCTCTCGCTCTGCATCATGGGCGGCGACTGGCGCTTCCCCGACCAGTACCCCAACGGCGCCAAGCGCGTCAACAGCATCCAGGTCGCCAAGGCAAAGGCCGCCGCCGGGGGCACCGCCGCCGCCGGTGGTGGTGGTGCCGGGGAGGGCTCCTCCGGCGAGGCGGCCATCAGCGAGCCCATTCGCGAGATTGTCCGCCAGTGTCTCAAGGTCGAGCCGGCTGAACGTCCTGATATTCATCAGTTAATCACCATGGTGGAAAACGTCCTTCAGAACCTACCCAACGGGGATTACGACTCGTAATTGCCCAGTATATATGCTTGCATGCAGTCTACCATGTACCAGTGTATTATCGCAACTGTTATTCTGTTTTGTTGTTGCTGCAGTTTCATACTAGCCTTTCAACATTGAGTTACGACGAGCCAGTCTTTACACACGTTTTCATCATCTAGGATAGCCAGGATAGCCAGGATAGCCAGGATAGCCTTAGGGGAGTGCCTTTTATATTTACTCAGGATAGAGGCTAGCAATGCTATGACATGCAATTCATCCATGAACCATGCAATTTCTCGTCGCAGTGTCGCTCAAACTTCCACGCAAGCGCACCCTACTTCATTATCGCCCTACAGCTGAAGCTTAAAGGTGGCTACCTCAAATGGCCGCAGCTTGATCGCAAACTTGCCCCCGCTAAACGGCACGTCCTCGCCTTCGTCCTCGAGAATGTTGCACTTGGACACGCGCTTGACATCAAAACTCGTTTCAATCGTGCCTCGGCTGTGGCCACCTAGTGACTCGTACACTCTGACAATGATGCTCTTTCCAGGATTGACGCAAAGACCCTCACGACGGCTCACATCCTCGTCATCGTGGCCGCGCTTGATGGTATCCAAAATCAGCGACGCAGACTCATCGACATTAACCAGTCTGATCGGGGCGCTGCCGAGATTCTCAATGGTGGTCTTGGGCGCCGAGAGAATCTTGAGGGGCGAGTTAAAAGCATAGCCGGCTCGAACAGTTGCCGAGGAAAGGGTGCCCTTGTGAGGGAGGATGGCCCAGCGAATATTGTGCTTGCCCATGTCTGCGTGCTCATCGGGCGACTTGGGCGAGCGGAGGAGGGACAAACGCATGACTTTGCCAGCCGTAGCAAAGCCGTACTTGCTGTCGTTGAGGATCGAAACACCATAGTTGTGCTCTGACAAGTCGGCAAACTTGTGACAGCACACCTCAAACTTGGCCATGTCCCAGCTGGTATTGTAGTGAGTGGGACGCTTGGTGATGCTGTAGGCGGTCTCGTACGAGGCTTCAGTGTTGACAATGTTGACGGGGAACTCCACCTTGAGAAATTTGGAGTTTTCGTGCCAGTCAACTTCGGCGGAGCACTCGACCCATGAAGACTGGCCCTTGAGAGCGGCAGAGAGGCTGATGTAGGCTTTCATGGAGCTTTGCTTGCTAATCTGAATGTCTGTCACCAGCGTCACGCGGTGAGGTTTGGCCTCGTGGATACGAGTCTCGCCGTACTGCACGTTCTTCTTGGTGTTGAGGTGGTACACCTCGACATCCCAGGCCTCCCAGTAGATGGGGATATCGTCAAAAATGACAAACTTGTTTGCTTTGGTGCCCTTTTCGACAATCTCGCGGTCGTTGAGACGATCATGGAGAGATGTGATGCAGCCGCCCTCAACTTCAACCCGAAAATGGTCATTCTGGAGTACAAATTGATCCTTGGTGACTTGGCGCACGGTAACGGCAGACTCAGTGCTCTGTACCTTGAAAGATCGAACGGGAAGTAGCTGTCCGTCTCCGCATGCGACGCCAACCTCGGTCTCAGAAATCTCGACAATTTCCTTACGATGCCAGGGCAGAGTATTGAGAACGACGGATTCTTGGACAGAAGAGGCGCGGAGGTCCGATGCATTCAGGCTTTGGTAAACCTCCTTGAGGAGGGCGTGGCCAGTCTTGAAGACGTCGGCGTAGAGCTTGTCGGTGTCGTCGTAACACATCTCTATGGAGCTGCCAGGAAGGCAGTCGTGGAACTGGCAGAGCAGGACAGTCTCCCACATGTTATCGATGTCCTCGGTAGGATACTTGTAAGACTTGTTCTTGATGGAGGCAATGGTGGCAAGCTGCTCAATGTCGCGGAGCATGACCTCAGCCTTGCGGTTATAGTACTTGTTATTGGCCTGGGTGGTGTAGGTGCCGCGGTGGAGCTCAAAGTACAACTCGCCGTACCAGGTCGGGAAAGCGTCGGCCTTGGCCGTCAGACGGTCAAAGAAGTCATCGACCGAGAGGCCAAGCTTGAGCTTGGGAATACCACCAATGGTGTTGCTGATGCCGGCGCAGCGGCGAAGCTTCTCCAGATGTTGCCAGGTGGGACCACCACCACCGTCACCCTTACCAAAGACGAGGAGCGAGGAGCTGTCGGTGCGCATCGTCTTGTGCTTGGAGATGCTCTTGCGAATGTCACTCAAGTTGGCTTCTGAGGTGTACGTCTCGGAGGGGGGCATGTGGCAGATGACCTGGCTGCCGTCCGGGCTGACCCACATGAAGGTGGTATGAGGGAAGTTATTGATGTTGTTCCAACTCAGCTTCTGGGTCATGAAGCGATCCATGCCGGCGAGTCGGCAAAGCTGGGGCAGCTGGCTAGAGTAGCCAAAGGTGTCGGGCAGCCAAAAGGTGCGGCTGCGGGAACCAAACTCGGATTCGAAGAAGCGCTGTCCGTAAAAGAATTGGCGGACAAGGGACTCGCCGCTAGGCATGTTGGTGTCGTGCTCAACCCAGCTACCACCAATGGGATGAAACTGGCCCTCCTTAACCTTGGCCTTGACACGGTCAAAGGCACGAGGGTAAAGCGTCTTGAGCCACTTGTACTGCTGGGCCTGGGAGCAGGCAAAATGTGCTTCGGGGTATCGTTCCATGAGGTCGCACTGGCTGGACCAGGAGCGGGCAACCTTGCGCTTGGTTTCGTCAAAGGGCCAGAGCCAGCAGCTGTCAATGTGGCAGTGGCCAATGCCGAAGACGGTGGGGTTCTTGCCGACCTCGTAGACGCGATGCGAGTCGACGTCGGGGCCAATGACTTCCTGGGCAATCTTGCGGCACTTGAGAATGGAGTCTTGGTTGTCGACCTGGAAAGTATCAATAATCTTCATGGCGACAGCCAGTGCCTTGTTCTGCTCAGCCGAGTCCTCGGGAAGCTCGCGGGCGGCATCGCCAATCTGCCAGATATCAAAGAGAAGCATACGGGCCTGGTAATTGACGGCGGCAATGTTTGCCTTGGAGATGGTAAAGTACCTGTTGGGGTCGGGGGGCGTGTTGTCGGTGGTGCCGTCGGGGGCATTGCCGAACATGCCATTGCAGGCCATCTCAATGTAAATGACATGCTCCTTGCCGTCACGGAAGTCGTCGGGGATAACCCACTCAATCCGGTCACCGTTTCCAGTGAGACCTTGGAGGGGCATCCCGTCGTCGGTCCATATCATGCCCTCATTGTTGGCATCCCACTCAAGAATGACAAATTCTTCGTCGGCGAGCGCTTTGGGGATGGTGATGGTGACGTGGAACCAGTGCGTAGTCCACGAGGGTCCAAAGGCATCGCCAATATGAGCCTTTTCAAACTCGTGGGAAACAGCTTCCTGGAATGAGGGACGATCCTGTCCAGGAGCGGCCCAAACGGCGAGCTTGACAGTGGGCTCGCCGGAGTATCGGGCATTGTACATGTTACTAGAGAGGGTCAGCAGAGGGAAGATGGCAGGGCCAAGGCGGCAGCGGGTGGACGTACGCCAAGAGATTGACCTTTTCATATTGGCCAGGTTTGTAGAAGGGATCGATGCGACCCTGAAGAATGCTCGTCTTGGCGACGCCGACGGGTTTGTCGGCGAAGACAGGGTAGGCACCCCTGCTCTTGTGATCGTGGCCGCCACCCATAGTATCAACTTCGAAAGCGTGGCCGGGTGCAGGAGGGGCAGACCTGTTGGAGATGCGACGAAGTCGTGGCGGTAACGGATGAGAAAGGCCGGCGGTGGTGGAATGGCGCGGGCAGTCGGCGGGCAGGGCGGTGGTGAGGGCTGCGTTTGGACTGTCGAGTCAAGAGTTTAAGTAAGCATTGATCATGGATGGTCTGAATAGTCTGGATAGTCTGGGTAATCTGGAGTATTTCGATAGTCTGGATAGTCTGGATTATCTGGATTATCTGGATACTCTGGATACTCTGGATAATCTAGATAATCTCAACTGTCCAAACAAAGGCGCGAGCACAGGCAGAATCGCAGAATGTGGGACGGGGCGGACGGGAAGAAAGAAGAGGATGAAAGGTGTTCTTTCAAGTTGATGCCGCCGCGCTGAAGAAGATGGACAAGAAAAGGTTAGGGGAAGGGAGAGTTGGAAGTGAGCAGGCGGGGTGCTTAAAAGCACCTGAATAAGGTGAGCCATGCAACCTTGTGACGACGAATTTGTGGATTGGACGAGGGAATCTGGGAGCTCGAAGCCGGGGAAGGGGAGCCACTAAAGCCACTAAGCCGAGAGGATCCGTGGGGGGTTTGCAGGTGCTGTAGGCAGGGTTCACAGAAGCTCGAAGCACAGGGCATTCGGAGGAGCTTGTACTAGGCGGTAGCGAGCGAAGGCTAAGCGGTGGGGGAAACCAGCTCTGTTTGGGCAGGTCGGCATTGCCTTGAACCAGTCATCCATGCTTCATCCATGCGTTCTTTTGTTTTGTGCTCTTCTGCAGCCGAATTGCTCGCTCAGGATGTGTCGTCGGTGAGAGGCTTCTCTCGCAGGCTGGTCAAAAATGCCAGGTGGCTCATTCTACCCCAACCAAGATGGAGTAGGCGGTACGGATACCGAGCTCACTTTGTCCTTTGGACGCCCAGGTAAAAGGGAAATAATCGTATGTTCGACGGGCAATATACCCGGCCACAACGGGTCTGTTCCGGTACCCGAAGGTGGCTGCAAGGTATTGGCTGTGGTGACAATAGTGACAGGTTCGTCGAGAGAGTGGACCAGGCAGACAGCGGCATCTTGTTCAACCTACCCCATCGCGAGCCGGTCGGGCGTCCTAGTTGCCGTCATTTCGGATGCAACAGTATGTAGAAATAGATGAAGAAAACGTCCAAGAGTAGCGATATTCGGTCGTCGATGCAAGTCGTCGGCTCGGAGGATAAAGGTAAGACAGGTACAGGGTAGGAAATGCTGGTCACCAATCAGTGCTGCGTGGTGGTGTTGATGGACGGCGGCTTGACCATGATAGCTAGGAATTAGCCAAAAGAAAAAGGAGGGGAGATAATTGACGTCTAGAGTTCCTTTCGTCTTGCAATCTTGTCAAGAGCCGCTGTCTGTTGCGTTGCACCTACCACTCTATCCCAAGCAGGAGCCAGGGAAGCAGTCGGCGCAACGAAATGACGTTGGTATCCAGATTATCTGTATAGGTAGTCTGGATTCTCTGGATTCTCTGGGTAATATGGATAATATGGCTATCTGGATTATCCAGATAACCCAGACTATCCATGTCCCTTTCTATTCTTCAATAACACAATCTCAAATTCGCAGAATTCCAGTCTAGCCCAGCGCTAGAGTAAGAGCGGATTGTGGCAGCCATAGTGATACTGGCCACTAATAACTAACCACTATCAGAGGTACAGAGTATGGCAAACCTCCACGGTCAAACCTTCACCTGCGTATTCGCACCCCCTCAAACGCGCAACAATCGCGCCCATGTTTCGCAGACGCGCTTGCCATGCTCTTCAGGATCTGGCAAGCCATCGCCCACGCATTCTGACGCTGAAATGTCCAGCCTGCCTTCAACCCCCCTCCTGCTGGTCACCCGCCGCCCCGTTCGTCGCCCATGTTAGGGGCAAGAAAACCAAGACCACCGTCCAGCTGTCTGACCTGCCTCAAGGCTCCGTCCAGGTAGACCCCCTCCCTGCGGACCAAGAAAAGAATGTCGCGGCATATCCTACCGTCGTGCAGCAGGCACGCCGCAACATGAATAAGTTTGACAATTGCGTCCTCTTAACTCGTGTTGGTGGCTTCTACGAGCTGTACTTTGAGCATGCAGACGAGTACGCGCCTCTGCTCAACTTGAAGCTGGCTTCCAAGAAAACGAGCGCCGGCCCGGTTTCCATGGTATTTCCAATTCCGTTTGCCCTTTTTGTTTCAGTCACCTCCGGAATCACAGCTAACTTGCCCCAGGCTGGCTTCCCATTCTTCCAGCTGGACCGCTATCTCAGTATCTTGGTCCAAGACCTCAACAGATATGTTGCCCTGGCTGAGGAGTTCCCCAACGATGCACAAGAAAAGATCAATTCCGGAGGTCTCATGCATGATAGAAGGGTTGCTCGCATCATTACCCCCGGCACTCTTATTGACGAAAATTTCATCGACCCCTATGCCAACAACTATGTCATGGCCATCCATGTGCCCCCCCAGCCAGCACCCACGTCTGATGATCCTGTCTCCCTTGGCCTGGCCTGGTTGGATCTCTCCACTGGACAATTCTTTACACAGCAGGCTGACCTCTCATCCCTCGCTTCAATCTTATCTCGCATCGCCCCTAGGGAGGTTGTTCTCAACCAAGATTTTGAGTTGCACAAGGACCACGGCATCTTCTCCATACTCGCCGAGGACAGACATCTCGTTACATACACCCCACCGGGCAGCTTGTCCCATGTCTCAGACTGGGATAGCATGCTTGAATCCGAAATCCCCCAGAAAACTCGCGAGAGCTTCTCTACAGATGAGATTGGCGCCGGCCATTTAGTTCTCGGCTATGTCAAAGACCGCTTACAAGGCATGAGTATGAAGCTTCAGCCGCCTCTACGCTACGAAAACGTGCAAGTCATGGTCATAGATAAGAATAGTTTGCGGGCTTTGGAAGTCAAGCACACCATTCGCGACGGTTTCTTTCGCGGGAGTCTGCTACACGCCATCCGCCGCACTGTTACCAAGAGCGGCTCACGCTTGCTCAACGAATGGCTCAGCGCACCCTCGACTTCCACCGACGACATCACTGCCCGACAAGACTTGGTTGCCCGCTTTCTAGCCTCACCCGACCTCTGCGACCTCGTCGTCACATTACTCCGACGTAGCCATGACACGCAACGGCTCGCCCAAAAGTTTGCGCTTGGCAGAGGCGACGCCGACGATCTCGTTGATCTGGCCAACACAATCCAAGCAACTTCCCAGATTGTCAGCCTTCTTAACAAAGCCGTCGCCGAGCCTTCATCAGAGTCCCTAGAATGCCTTACGAAACGGATAGATATCCAGGAGCCTCTGACGCTTGCTCGCCGCATCACCGAGGCCATTGATGAGGATGGTGTCGTTTTGCAGCACCAAGTCGCAGAATCCGAAGCCAGCCAGATGATGGCCCTGGCCGAAGGCATCGTTGCCGCAGAAGGATCCGCTGAGGATGCCCAGTCGTTGCCCAAAAGCAAGAAGAAGCGGCCCACAACCATCAAGGAATATTACGCCGAGGATAACGATGCCTGGATTATGAAACCACAAGCCAGCCCCGCACTCAGCAAACTCCATGCCCAACTGAATTCGCTGTTGGAAGAGCGTGAGTCTCTTGGGGAGACCCTTCGCGAGCGCCTGGGCGCACCCAGTCTGACTCTGAAGTGGACGCCGAGTCTCGGCCATATTGCGCATATAAAGGGCAAGGACGCCAAAAACCTGGCCGACGTTCGCACCCTGTCCTCCAGTCGGTCTACCCGCTCTTTTCACCTCGCCGAATGGACCACTCTCGGCCAGCGTCTGGACCAGGCGCGGTTTCACATTCGCCGCGAGGAACAGCGCGTCTTCCAGTCGCTCAGAGAACACGTCGTCGTGAACATTGTCAAGCTGCGCCGCAACGCTGCTGTCCTCGACGAGCTTGACATTGCCACGTCCTTTGCACGACTAGCGACTGAGCAGGGGCTATCACGGCCCATCCTCAACAACTCCTCAGCACACACCATCATTGGCGGCAGGCATCCTACCGTCGAGGGCGGGCTCGTCGACCAGGGACGCAGTTTCGTCGCAAACGACTGCATGGTGGGCAATCCTGCCGCTGGCTCTCTCTGGCTGATCACTGGACCAAATATGGCCGGTAAAAGTACGTTTCTGCGCCAGAACGCCCTGATCACCATCATGGCACAAATCGGATGCTATGTGCCGGCATCCTACGCTGAGCTCGGCATCGTCGACGCCATCTTCAGTCGTGTCGGCTCGGCCGATAACTTGTACCGCGACCAAAGCACATTCATGGTCGAGATGCTCGAGACAGCGCACATCCTGAAGCATGCCACGCCCAAGTCGTTCGTGATCATGGACGAGATCGGACGAGGCACGACGCCGGAAGACGGCGCGGCCGTGTCATACGCCTGCTTACACCATCTGGTTACCATTAACCAGTGCCGCACGCTATTCGCCACGCATTTCCACGCCGTTGCGGATCTCGCCGAGGCGGATGGACTATGCGACCCGAACCACAGCCCAGTGCAGCTGTATTGTACGGACATAGATGAGGATGCGGACGGCGGATTCGTCTACGTTCACCGGCTGCGAAAAGGCATCAACCGAAAGAGCCATGCGCTCAAAGCGGCAAGACGAGCTGGGTTGCCGGAGCCGGCGCTACAAATGGCACAGAGGGTATTGAAGGGGATGGATGCGCATTGAATGGGCATGCGCAGTGTAGCTGGGCCAATGGAACTACAGATGGGCAACCAGAGGATGTTGAACATGTACACTATTATTTCTTTTCAAAGCGGTTAGCTGCGGTTCCTATTGTAAATTGAGGAGACAAAAGAGGGAAGATGAAGAGGTCGGTCATAGGGTGGTGATGTATGTGTCATCAAGAAAGATTCAGGGTTAAAAAGCTCTTGAACGTTTTCATAATCTTTCCGACAAAGATGGTAAAATGGCGTTGAGAAAAAAAATGACGACTAACCTTTTTGGCAAAGAAAGACACATCGCAACCGTCCAAGTAGGGTTCAACATGCATTCACGGTGTATAGCGAGATGGCGCACATTTAGACGCGACCGACCGGCATTCAAAAATTTTGATTGGCTTTTGTTTCGTGACAGTCATATCATCGTACCGACAGCGAATTCTACAGCTGGCGGTGACATATGTGCGCGATACTGTTGATCTCCATAGCATGACGATCCCAACCAAACGTTCCGTGCGCCCGGCATTCATCGTGATCAAGTGACTGCATTTAGTCGCTACAAGACAAGTTAGCAACACATACGTAGGGCAGGGCCTCTGGTGCACGTACAAGAGACCACCGAAGGAGCCGTCAGAGTCCTCAGCCTCGGACTCCTCCTTCGCAGCGGCCTTGGGGGCCTCGGCGCCACCAGAAGCAGCAGCCGCGGCAACGGGAGCGGCCGAGGCGTAGGCGTCGGGGTTGGCGATGCGGTCCTTGAGCTCCTCGATCTCGGGCCAGGAGAAGTCAGTCTCGATGGCGACGGCGAGGACGTTCTTGTACGAGTTGACGACCGAGTGCATGACCGAGGGCAGGGTGGGGAAGCTGATGGCCAGCGAGATGCACGCGACGGCGCTGATGCAGCTGGTCAGCGTCTTGAGGAGCTGCTCCTCGCCAATGTCGAGCACGCTGGGGTCGAAGCACTGGCCCTCGTCGTAGACCTGCGCGACGCCCATGCCGAAGGTGAAGGGCGAGATGTTGAGCATGTTGAGCAGGGTCGCCTCGGAGGGGCCGACCTTGGCGCCCTTCTCGACGAGCTTGAGGTCGGTGGTGATTTCAATGGTACCACGGGCGATCTTGGTGGGCACGCTGAGGGCCTGGAAGAAGGAGGTCTTGCCGGGCTCCATGCCGGTGTTGCCAGCGGGCACCCAGACATCGATGGGGGCCAGGGCACCGGCACGGGCGGGCGCGGCGACGCGGTTGGCGAGGACGAGGTCACGGGTCTCCTTGAGGTCGCCGTTGGTGAAGACGAAGCCAACGTTGCCCTTGACGAAGGGCAGGAGACGCTCGTACTCGGGGGTGTCGTTGATGAAACCCTTGAGGGCACGGCGAACCTAGAGGGGGTTTAGTTAGCATCTGGACGCCGGAAAGTCGTGCGCGCGAGCGCGCATTGAGCCGCCGAGGTCGTACCATAGTGTTCTTGCCCATCAGGACAACACCCTTGCCGCGGAGGGAGTGACGAATCTCGTGCATCTGCTGAGACGAGACATTGTCAATCTCGACGATGAAGATGGACTTGTACTCCTCGAGCAAGCCCTTGAGCTTGTCGAAGTAGCCGGCCTTGTTCGCAGTCTTGCCCCCCATATCTTCTTATGATAAAGGCAGGGTATTTAAGGGCAAGGAGTTTTTTTTTTGTAATTAGGTGATGGTGATGATTGTCGTTGGACGTTGTGTAAGAGAAGCTCTCCTTAAGCTATCGCGAAGGCACACAATAGTTTTCGACTGCCCGCGAATTTTTTGTGCCAAATGCCACCGCTTATTAGCGAGAAGTGTGTGCTTGTCCCACTTGTTTTCTTTGCTAGGGCTTGCAGAGAGATCCCCATTCTTGGCCTAGCGCAAAGATGGAAGCAGGTATCAATGTATCTTTTCTGGGCCAAAGGTACATCGGCAATGTATCTTTTTTGTCAGACTGAAGTGATTCTGCTCCCCGAGACTCTTATATGAAAAAAAGTGCACTTGACTGCCAACCCCAACAATAACGAAGGAAGTTTCTAATCATCGCTATAGGGAGGCGTATTCATCATGAAGATTCCTTACAACTGTCTTCATACACACAGAAACGTCCTGTTTGCGGCACGGGGTGGAAAGATTCACACCTTCAACCTGCTAGACGGCGCTCACATCGCAAGATGGCAACACCCGGAACTACAGACATGTATAGTGGCAGACGTCGAGGCTTCATCAGCGGTAGAACCAGGACAGCAAGATGCAGACGACGCTGTCGTGGCCGATGAGGAGGCGCAGCAGCCGCCTTCCAAGCGCCAAAAGGTGACCACAGGTGATGGCGGACACCAAAGCAATGACGCGGAGGAAAAGGCGGGTGGCAAAAAGGCGCGCGCCAAAGAGCAACGGAAGCCCAAGCCGATACCGGTACCGGATCGTCCTACAATCATCCAATTGGCAACGACCAGTGATGGAAGCCACCTGGTTGCCGTGTCGAGCCATGACAAGGCGGTGTGGGTTTTCAAGCACGACGGCGCCGGCCAGCTCACCCAGCTCAGCAAGAGGTACACCCAGCTCACGGAAATCTCATAAATCTTCTCTGGCTAACAATCACCCTTCCATTAGAATCATGCCAAAGCGGCCTTCGGCCATCACAGTGTCGCCAGACTCGCAAATCCTCGTCGCCGACAAGTTCGGCGACGTCTACGCCATTCCCCTGATCAAGAGCTCCGAGCCATACGTGCCGCCCCCCAACGCCTCCTCCTCCACTGGGCCTCAAAATCCCGCTGCCACCGCGCAGCCTGCCGCCACCGTCCTCACCGTGCACTCCAAGGGCAACCGCGCCGCGCTCGCCGCGCAGCAGCGGCAGCTCGAGAAGCCCACCGAGGCCGTCCGCGCCGAGGGCCCGGACTTTGCGCACACGCTGCTCCTCGGCCACGTGTCCATGCTCACGGCGCTCGTCCTCGGCGAGGACGCGCAGCGCCGGCGGTACATCCTGACGGGCGACCGCGACGAGCACATCCGCGTGTCGCGGTACGTGCCCCAGGCGCACGTCATCCACGGGTACTGCCTGGGCCACAGGGAGTTTGTCGGGGCCATGACGATCCCGCCAAGGCGCAAGGAGCTCCTCGTTTCTGGAGGGGGTGATGAGGATCTGCTGGTGTGGGACTGGGTCAACGGCAAGCTCCTGTCGAGGACCAGCATCGTGACGCCGGCCAAGGAAGTCATCCCGCAAGCGAGCGCCGTCGCCGTGTCCAGGCTTCTCGCCCTCGAGTATCCCGGCGAGCAAGGCCCACAGACGCACATTGTTGCGATATGCGAAGGGTGAGTCGAGATTCCGAAAACATGCCATTCGCTTGACTGCCAACCAGGACTAACACCCACCGCTCCATAGCATCCCTGCCGTCTTCACGTGGCAGCTTCTCGAAGACAACACTCTGACGAGGCCAGGCGTCATCCAGCTCCCGGGAAAGCCTCTGGACATCGCCGAGAGCCCAGCCAGCGACGACACCGTGAGCCTCTCTGTCGCGCTGCACGTCCCGGAAGGTTCGAGCGCCGAGGCCGCGCGCAGCCTACACATCATCCGCCTTATGGTCGACGATGGTCGCCTTGCCGTCAACACGATTGCGCCCGTCGGCGACGAGTCGCTGGAGAGTAGTGAGCAGGATGTCGTGGAGGAGGATGTCCGGACGCTGTTCTACACTGTTGAGCATCTCCGCAAGCAGCAGGCGAGTGGCCAGGAAGAGGGCGAGACAGAGCAGCAAGGAGACAGTGTTGCCGAAGAATAAAAAGGAAAGGTCGCATTACGATACCCAAGTACAGCGGAAAAAATGTACCACAGCATCAACATAGTTCACACATAAACATGGTACAAGACGAGTATAAATTCTGTATATTAAGATGCGTGTTTCGCGAAAGCAATATGACAAAACTTTGGAATTGACTGAAATCACTGTCTAATAAGTCGCACAACAAGCCAAGGATGAAATTGGGAAGTAAGGGATCCCCGATGATCTCTAAAATAAAACGCCAACCAGTCGTCAGTCTTCTCTCCATTACCTTCGTAGCCCCTTCTAGGCGGTCTGGGGCGAATACAGAGTCGCCTGGTATCTTGGACAAAACGCGACTCTCGCATAAGAGCTGAAGCCCCCAACCCCGTAACTTTTCATTCGCTCCAGTCGATGCAAAACGAGTCTTCTCTTCTGGAAGAAGCCATGGCTTACTGCGAGGCGCACTGCATGCCCTCGCCGCCACCACCAGCGGCTCCGGCAAAGCCCGCGCCAAAGCCCGCGCCAGCACCAGGCCTAAACTCGCCGTGCTGGTGTTGCGCGCCATGCCTTTCTTCATCAACCCTCTTTTGTTCATCAGCCTGTGCCTGGACAAAGGCGCGCGTGTCCTCTGGAACCTCTTGGAGATCGGTGGGCTCGGTCATCGACTCGGCGGGGGGGACGTTCTGGACAGCCGGCGAAGGAAGAGCCTTGCGGAGGGCCTCGAACGCCGCTGGGTCCTGCGTCCAATTCTTCTCGGGCATGATGACTTCAAAACTGACAAACAGGTCGCCATGATCATGATGGCGATGGGAAGGCATACCTTCGCCAGAAATGACTCTCATGGAGCCTTTTGAAAATTAGTTTTCATTCATTCTGTCAGCGTAGGGGGAAAGCGTACCTGTGGTAATGGCCTCGCCCGGGAGAACATCAACGCTCAGCCAGCGATCGTCCAGATGCTCGATGTATACGGTACCGCCGGCAAGGGCAGTGACCAGGTCGATCTTACAGGTATAGAAGAGATGGTCTTCTATGCGCTTGAAGCGAGGGTGGGGCTTCTCTTGAATCTCAAAAACAACGTCACCAGCCTGGATACCAGGCGCCTGGTCACCATCACCGCGGAATTCGACCCTCGTGCCACTGCGGACACCCTTGTCGACGTGGACATGGAGTACCTTGCGGTCAACGACCGTCTTTTTACCATGGCACTGCTTGCAGCGATCCCTGTCCCTTATGCTCTCGCCCTCTCCGTCGCAGTCGGTGCATTGGGTCTGGAAGCGCTGAGTGACGCGACCCATGTTGCGTTCCAAGATTTTGATGCCGTGGCCGTTGCAGCCCAGACAACGCTTGGCGGCACCGGGCTTGCCACCATGGCCGTCGCACTTGGAGCAAATGATTGAGCGCTGAAGAGCCAGCTTGGAGACCTTGCCACGGTAAATGTCCTCGAGTGAGACCATGTGAGTGTGGGCGATGGTGCGAGCCTTGCGCGGACCGCCCCTGGCGCCGCCCATGCCGCCTCCCATACCGCTGAACATGCCGGGGAAGCCTCCGAAGCCGCCAGCATGGCCGGAGAGATACTCAGCAAGAAGGTCCTCAGCATTCATACCAGCACCGCCAGCGCCCATACCGCCCTCCAGGCCAGCCTCGCCATACTGGTCATAGATCTGTCGCTTTCGGGCGTCGGAAAGAATTTCGTAAGCGTGGGAAATGGCTTTGAATTTTTCTTCGGCCTCGGGATTGTTGGCATTCTTGTCTGGGTGTTTGTCAGTCTTGCCGGTTCACCGTGACGGAGTAAGGCGGTTTGCGCATACCGGGATGGAACTGAAGCGCGCCGTTCTTGTACGCCTTTTTCAGCTCGGCGTCGGTGGCAGTCGGGGAGACCTAAGTCAAGGATCAGTACGGAATTGTTGAGAAAAGTGCGTGGGCCGACAACGTACGCCAAGGACATCGTAGAATTTGGTTTCGACCACCATTGTGATGCTTGCACAGATTGTGTAGTTCTATGGTTGCAGGTAAAGAATGGGTTGAGAAGCAAGGGCGACGCGATCGCTGACGGCTCAGCTTTGGGGAAACTGCCAGCGGGATGACTGCTGTTGCCACTGATTAGTCACGAGAGTTGTCAGATGGTGGTGTGCAAGGCCGTAGCCTGGTGTAGAAGGTGATCGAATGTTGTGAGGCGAAATCGTGGGGGATATAAAGGATCGAGGTGTGGCGACGATGACAGCAGACGTAGTGATTCGGTTCGCAGTCGACGGCTCTCTGTTATTCGGCAGCAGCCAATGGCTGGGGTGCAAAGGTAAAGGCGCAGGCGCCAGGAGTGAGGGCAAGTGAAGGCGGCGAGCAGGGTCTCACGGCATCCGGTAAGCGCAGCGTACCTGAAAAACCTCTTGACGTGCGAAAGAAGGTAGTTGGAGAAGAAGACGAGCGCTGCAGACAGGCGGCGTCCAAAATTTGGTGGAGCCGAAGGGCTTTTGCAAGTACGGACAGAGTCTGTGATCGCGAGTTTCGTGGAACAGGAAAAGCTGCAGAGAGATGTCGTAAAAGTCAAAGGTCAGATGAGTTCTCCGATGAGGCTGGTTCAGATGAAGCCGAGAAGGGGCGAGAGGACGATGGAGCAAGAAGAAGGACGGAGGAACAATGGGAAAACGAGAACGAGGCCGTGCTAGCGACAACTTAAGTTGGCGAGGTCGGGCGGACCAGGCTTGGTTGGTGGTGTTGGTGCAGGCAAAGTCCGCTAACGCGCTTTACCCACCCAGTGCTGTACCTACCATGGTTGAAGTAATTACAGGGCCCTTCAGCGTCGCTCGTTGCAGCTGGACGGGCCGCTTCAGAAGCCGTGCCTGGAGCGCCTAGAGCTGGAGCCAGAGAGGGAGCAAGGCCCCACTCATCCCACGCTCCATGGAATTTCGTCGAAGACTGTCGACCCTGTGGTGTTACTGCGCGCCAGCCTATCGGAACAGCGTATTGCCTCAACCTCCGCCTCAAGGTGGGTCAGCTGTTCTTCCGTCACACCAGCCTACCCGGAATGCCTTTTGCCTCGTTTGAAATACGGCTGGGAAGCCCGTCTGTCAAAGGCAACCCAGTCACACGAGCCAAGGCTTCCTCCTGCAACTTTACTCTATTCCAGTGCATTGCCAACTTCCTTGCACTCTTCACACCGAGTAGCACAAGAGCTCTGCAGATCCCGTGGTTGTTCAACACGGCACCAATTATGATATGACGCTACTTCAAGTGAGCCCCGCCATTACAAGCCAAGAGGGAACACAACCATTTGGGAGGCGAGAGAAGCAAAAAGAAGGATCAAGTTCATCCAGTCCGAGAAAGAAAAGGGGGTATATTGCTCAACAACTTAAAAGCCCATTACCGAAAAGTAAGCAACCACGGACACAATTCAGCCAACCCGCATCGCCCATCAGCAATGTCAACTCCGCAACATGAACCATAATACATTACCACCACCAATCTCATGTCGCGCCATATAGCTGTAGCTGCCTCGTCTTTCATCTTCCTCAAACGTGAACCCCGTTAGAATGCGTCCTCAAAAGGACAGTCGACGCTGTCGTGCCCGTCCCGTTCGCACACGGCACACCACTTCTCGGGGTCCATCACCCTGCTCTCCTTGCCCGCTACGGGGCCAGATTCCATCGGGTTCGGCATGATTTTGATCGGTGCCGTAGTTTGTGTCCCTTGTTTTGATCGGGCCGTGGTGAGGGGCGCGGGACGGGCGGCATCGTCAGCGCCATTGGTGTACTGCGACGTCGGTGGTGCCTTGAGCGTGTCGCGATCTCCGGCTCTGCTGGCGCTGCCATCTGCATTAGAGATGCTCTTGGCGCCTTCTGGTCCAAACATGTTTGTGCATGTGAGAATATCATGGCCGCTCGTTTCACAGATTTCGCACCATAATGCGCTAGTCTCGGAGGAATAAGTGTCACTCTCGGGCATGGTATCCAACGTGTTGCCTCGGCGGTGTGCTGACGTCTCAGGCGAGCGAGGCTCCGCACGTGCGGGAATGACGGTATCGCGAGAATCTCTCAAAGAGGATCTATGATTTTGCGTCCCGTTTTGGCCCTGGTCTGCGCCGGTGCTGCGGCGGAGGTGCTCGACTTCTTGCTCAAGCTCCTCTTGTCTGCTGTTCTTTTTGTCGAGAAGCGCCTGTAGTTCCGTCACGCGACGCTCCAAATGATCGCGGCTCGCTCCGTTGGTTGTGAAAGCCGCTTGTTCGTTGAAAGAATCGTGTAGCGTAGGGGTGTGCTGCTCTTCGCCAGGAACCGAATCGCGACTGAGAGAATGGATGATAGCTTTGAGCCCACGAATCTCATCCTCCTTCTGCTCCAGTTCCTTGGCGAGGGAGGACTCGCTGCCGCCATTGCCCTGGCCTCCCGGAGAGCCCGACTTGTCACGCTCGCGGCGCAGCTCGGATCTGGTTCGCTCAACCTCTCCTCGCAGAAACTCCGCCTCACCTCTGGCTTCGGCTTCCCCCCGGCGTGCATCTTCGAGACCCTCTTCCAGTTCCTGGACAAGTTCCTCCAATTGCTTCAGTTGATTGGCGACAGAATCCACATCAACGTTTCTCGACTCGAGTTCTCTGATCTCGGCCATGAGTTCTTCCATACGCTTCTCATACACGCGCTCCGTCTCGGTGCTGGCAAGCTCCAGCGTATCAATGGTGCTGCGAAAGTCGGCCCGGTGAGAGTCAAACTCTGCCGTCAGCATGGCAATCTTTTCCGTCTTCTCGCGCAGCATCAGGCGAAGCTGAGCAGAGTCCTTGTCATCCATGCTATTTCTCAGGTGTCTCGGGCCGTCCGACTGATCGATCAGGGACTGCAGCTCAACTAGGCTACTCTCCATCTCGGCGAGGGTGCTGGCCTGTTCCTTTAGTTGACTGTCCCTATCCTCTAGCTGGCTCTTTAGGCGCTCGATTTCTTCTTCGTTGGCGTTGTTTGCACGCGAAGACGGTCGTCGCAGGTTAAAGGCCGAGGCGGACGTGGACAGTCCGGGCTGTCTGGCGGCGCGTTGCACCAGTGGCGCAGGGTCATCATCAAAATCCATGACGGCACCGCCACCCATGGCAGAATTGCTACGCTGGCCTATGTTCAAGCTGTGATCTAGCCGTCCAAGCTTTTTGCTCGGGTCTCCTGCGGTGCCCCGGACACTCTGAGCAAATCGATTGACTGGGCTGGCCTGCCGTACGATCTTGGAAGGAGATGGTATGGAGGGTCGGGGTGCTGGGGTCATCTGAGTTCGGCGGAGGGGCGACTCGGGTCGCGGGAGCGACATTCGAGGGCGCGACTTGGACTGGGGACTCGGCGCCCTGGCACCAGGTCCGATCGATGCACCTAGCTTGGGCAAGGCTGGCATCGGTGGCGTATACCCCGAGCTCTGGCCGGGACCTCGCCGGTTCGCGGCTGGTGTTGGCGTCGCAGGGTAGGCCGCATGACTGGGCGACTCGCGTCGAACCGCCTTTGAGACGGGGACGAAAATGCCAGAGCCGGGAACGCTGGTGTTGAAGTAGGATATGCTATGGGTTAACGCGTTAGCTCACAAGAGCGTGATACGGGCGAGCATTGGCGATTTCAGGTAGACTCACCCATCGACATCTCCGTTGTTTTTGCCGCGGGGTGCAAACTCGCGATTCAATTCGATGCCGACGAACTGGCCCTTCTTCCCCTGGACAGTGCCGACAAAGCGTACGGTGCCTCGGAGACCACCAGGGACCTCAACGCTGTCGCCGACGACAACGTCGTCAGCAGAGGCAGGCCGGCCGGGGGTGGCGGGAATCATGGTGGGATCGCTGAGGACGGAGTCTAGAGCATAGGTTTCGCTAACATCGGGGATACTGGCGAGGGTGCTAGGGGTGAGGGCAGCGAGCGACGTCTTGCGCGACAAGGCTGCCGACAGCCTAGAATGAGCGGTAAAGGCGGCGTTGAGATCGGGAGTAGACGCAGAGGGAGCGACAGGTCTGCGCAGAATGCGACCGAAGGACTTGCGAGTGCGGAGGGTGGTGGAAGTTGAGGTTGTTGTTGTGGCCATGATGGGCGCGGGAGCCCCTGCTTGGGCGCTTTTGGGCCAGGGAGAAAAACTGGGTTGCCGTTGGTGGTAATTCGTACTAGAGGCAGCACCCAGGTGTAGTGGCTTCAGCGGACCCTGCCTGTACCTGGGCACTTTGTATCCGTGGGTAATCTATCGGGAGCAACCCCTTGCGGACCAAGGCAGGTAGCTGCAAGGCAGGTAGGTCGAGTCAAATGAAATGTACCAGCACCTAGGCAAGTACTTGCATGTGAAGCGACGAGTATTCCTTGTGGCTTCTATCACAAGGCTGTTGAGTTGCCTGGGTTTGTCGATGCCCGTTGTGCGATCGCGGGAACACGGGCACGCTATGCCCGCTCTGAAAGGAGGAGGGGTGGCGTGGAGGGGCAGTGGACTGCCTGCTAACCGGGTTGGTGGTACGGTGAAAAGGGTACGCTGGTGAGAGATAGATGGCAGCGGTGGGTAGCTGCGATTGTGAAGTGTGAAGGGAAATAAACCAAAAAGAATGCTGGCGACAAGAAAAAAGCTATGTATGTAGATGGAAGATGTAGAAAGAAGAAAAGCAAAGCCACGTTTGAGAGAGAGAGAGAGAGACAGAGAGAGCAAGAGAGCTGGGGGAGGAGAAGCAGCAGCGGAAAACAAAAAAAAAAAAGCAAACGCGCTGTACCCAAGTAAAGTAAAGCAAAGTAAAAGAGGGCCTGCCTGCTCTGTGCGCTGAACTCCTCGTACCAGTAAAGTGAATACTAATAAGAGTAGGTACACTGTATTTCCGTCCCTGCCGATGAGAAGACGAACGCAGCACCCTGGAACCCCTGCATTATCAGCCACTATAGCGCCTCCATAGGTACTTACACTCTGGCTCTCAACTTGAACGGTTGCTGCAGCACTTGCAGCTGCCACGTTGCACAGTGACAAAATAAACAACAAAAAACGACACTGGTTACCGAGACCGGAGCACAAGCAAGGAAGAGGTGCCAAATGCTAGGCATGTATGTAAAAATGCAAAGAATTTTGGATTCTTCATGATGAGAGCCGTCCTCAAGTGAAACGAATGTGCGGTGAGAAAATTCTGTCACATCGGACACTGGCGCTTGATATATGTCAGCTCCTGGTAATAATAAGTACACACTTACAGCGGGCGGCAACTAACTAATAAGATACCTACACATGTATGTAGGTAGGTACCGAATAACTGAGATACTATCCGTAATAAACAGGGGACAAATACACGGTAATTCGACAACCCTCGCTTGTTTAATTAACAATATGGACCTGTATACCGAGTACAAATGCATTGAGCCGCCTTTCAAAGTCTTACTTGAGCGGCATCCAACCGCCCATGGGTTCCAATCACCTTGTTTAATTGTGCCCAACATAACCAGTAGCCTACTTTGCTTCTTAATTGGCGTAGATTTCTCAGACAAGCCATCCACTTCCTGATACATACGTTGTGTCAATCCTTCAGCTGGAAACCCGGTCTTACATTTGGGGGCCTTATAATGCAATCTCAAGACCAGGCCCAATGCTGCAATCAACAAATCCAAGTCTATTTCTCGTTCAACACTCACACAGAGAAGGGGGTTGCCCAATTGACCACTTTTGCATGTCATTTGTCACTGGCTACCTAGGCCGTCTGTTACTGTCATGATAGTTGATAGTTGCACTCGCTGTCCTGTCTTGCCTCCCCAAAATATATATACACCAGAGTAGCCATTCCTTAAACATGGCTCAATCAGGGGAACCGTGGTCTCGCTCAATGATATCTTCACGTGCCAGCGGTCGAGTTCCATCATTCAACACCATCGCCTCTCGATGTTGTCTCCGTAGCCTTCGCTCCTCGGCCGAATGTTCCCGAGCCCTTCGAGCATGGCCTTCTGTCGGAAGTGCCGGTATCTCGCCGCCAACTTCCATCAGGAGGTCCGGCAGCTCACGGGTGCGCCGCGAGTTGTCCATCTCTACTAAGCCCGATCTCTCCAGCGCCAGCAGCCCGCGGCGGCAATACTCAACTCTGCCGATTATGTCCACGATCCTGTTGTTGCGTACCTTCCTGTAAGCCTTGAAGTTTTCCTTCCTCTTCTTTGGCGTATCTCCCCATTTTTGCTTGGCTAACCATTTTTCCACAAATTTTGCCTTGACAAGCGACTTTGCGCCATACTTGCTTGTTAGCTCCTGAAGAAACTTTAGACAAAACCTCTCGGCCGTGTCGCGTAGGTAGTATTCGTCCCAGTGAATATTAGTGACAACGGGCAAATCTGCGTCCTCGAGGCTCTGCTCTAGTGACCGAACAAGAGCTGAATACGCTTTTCGACTATGCAACTTGGATAACCCATCAAATCCTGCGTCCTGGTCAGCCTGTTTCATCTACCCGCGCGTCATCCACCGCCTAGACCTACCATATGTTTGACTTGTCAGAAGTGACAGAGCACGCAAACAATAAATGCGCTCGTCGTAACTTTTTACAGTGATACCATACAGTAAATATGCAATGGCGCTGGGATCATTCACCGCCCTGTCGCAGAGGATCTTGGTGCAAGTGTCGCGTATCGAGAAATTGGGGTGCTCCAAAAGCTTGGTCAACGTGTGAAGCTGAAGGGCGTCTTCTGTGTCTTGCGTGATATATTGTGTTTTGGGCTCTGCTGGAGGTATTTCGTTATCATCCCGGATCATTGTCAAAACTGTGACCATGGTGTTGACGACGCTGAAGGCGGCCAAGCCCAGACTGAGTAGCATGACGCGGTCATCTCGAACGAACGCCCAAAATCCAGCCTTCCAGCTCATGATGGCATATAATGCTGTTAATAGTTCATAGCTATTGTCCACTGAATCGAATCAAAATGCCAGTTAACCGATGCGTGTGTTATTATGGCGATGCGAATTCATTGAGTTGGAGATGCGGGTAGCAAGTCAATCAACTCCAGGAGCGCTGGCTAGCATGGTGGAGAAGCAGGTTCGCAGTCGCTAGTGCCACACTTTGCGCAAATCCTTATCGATAACCAGCCCGCCATAAAAAATCTGGACCACCATCTTGTCCAACTTTTGCATTCAACAGCGCAAATCTTGCCGACAACTTCAACTTCAAGATATGGCGGGCTCTCAGCTGAAGCGCCTCAAGGCGTCGCTAAGGGAGCAGGGAGTCATTGGACCCCAGCAGTCTAAAAAGCAAAAGCGCCGCAACGCTGAAGAACAAAAGGGTCGCAACGACAAGAGGCTCCAGCGAGGCGTCGTCTTGTCTGGCATCCGTGAGCAGTTCAACCCCTTCGACCTCAAACATGCCGCAAGAGGACCGAAGTTCGACGTCACGAGCAATGTGCCTAAAAGCTCCAGTGCTGCCAAGGGCATCCAAGGGCGGCCTGGCGCCGCCAAAGCTGCCAGCGAAGAGCGGGTAAGCGTGCTTCGACCACCACCTCTCTCTACTGGTACTGACGAAGCCCTTGATAGCGCCGAGAAACTCTTTTAGTCGACATGCAGCGTCGCAACAAAATTGGCGGCATTCTAGATCGACGATTCGGAGAAAACGACCCAACCATGGCCCCGGAGGACAAGATGCTGGAACGATTTGCTCGCGAGAAACAGCGCGCTCACAAGAGTTCCATGTTTGATCTCGAAGACGACGGCCCAATAGGTGGCCTCACACACGGAGGAAAGTCTCTCTCCTTCGACGACGATGATGATGACGGTGCGCTACTCGACGACTTTGCCGAGGAAGATCTAGACGCCGACGACAGCGATGGCTCTATTCGCGAACGACAGCGTTTAAAACGTCTACGAGGCCTTGCAGAGGAAGATGGCGCCAGCGATCAAGAACCCGACCGTAAAAAGTCCAAAAAAGAGGTCATGGAGGAAATTATTGCCAAGTCTAAACACCACAAGTACGAACGTCAGGCCGCCAAGGAAGATGACGAGGAGATGCGGGCAAAGCTCGACAAGGAGCTCTCCAGTATACAAATGCTGCTATCCTCGTCCGCGAAGAACAAGCGTCCGGGGGAACCAGCCGCGACGGCCACGGCCAGCATTGCGGGTGTTGAACGCGGAGAATTTGACAGAAATTTCGATATGCAGGTGAAGCGTCTAGCACAAGATCGCCGCGCACAACCACAAGATCGCACGAAAACGGAGGAGGAAAAGCTAGAAGAGGAATCGAAGCGTCTACGTGAACTAGAAGACAAACGTCAACGACGAATGCGCGGCGAGGAGGTTTCAGACAGCAACGAGAGTGAGGACGACAAGGGCAAGAAAGATGCCGGTGATGACGAGCAATCAGATGACGACGACGGTTTTGGTCTCGGTGAAGGTCTTCGTACACGCACCACAGCCACTGACGTTGGGCTTGACGACGAGGACAACTTTATCATTGATGACGACCTAGTTGCGAGCGGTTCGGATCTAGATCTTGCAGACAGTGGTGATGAGTCAGATGATGAATCCGGCGGCGACTCTGATGCCGCAGAGGACGAAGATGAGGACGACGAGTTCACCAAGGGTCTCCTTAACGAGGAGGAAACACGAAACCCGGCCTTCCATGTCCCCTCCGCCGCGACCGCATCTGCGCTTAAGAAGGGAGACGAGCACGGCCTTCCATTCACATTTCCGTGCCCAGAGACTCTGGAGGAGTTCAAAGCCATCACATTACAGTATTCGCACGAGAGCACACCAAAGATTGTGCAGCGTGTGCGTGCGCTCTACCACCCTAAGCTCAACGCCAAGAATAAAGAACGCCTAGGAAACTTTTCCAAGGCCCTGGTTGACTATGTCGCTGCACCATGGGACCCGGCCACAGCACCACCATCATCAGTCGTCGAGAATGTCGTGCGTCACATCCACTCTCTTGCGAAGATGTTTCCTATCGAGATCAGCAACCAATTCCGTCAGCACCTTACGGAGATGGGGGAAAACCGCACTCTTGCCCTCGAACCATCAGACCTTCTACTTCTAAGCGCCATCGGAAGCATCTTTCCTACCTCAGATCACTTCCACCAGGTCGTCACACCTGCTATGTTGACTATCGGTCGCTATCTTGGTCAAAAAATACCAGTACAGCTCGCTGATTTCGCCACTGGCACGTTCCTCTGTGTACTGTCGCTTCAATACCAACAGCTCGCGAAGCGGTACGTGCCAGAAGTCATCAACTTTGCCGTCAACACACTCTGCGCAATGGCTCCCAAGCCCATAAAAATGACCACAACGATACCAATACACGAAAATTCCCAAAGGCGCTTCATCACGGCCGATGCCAAACTTCGCAAGCTACGCTTCACTGATTGCGTCCCCGACGATGCTAGTTACACGGGCCCTGCTGTCGAAGCCGCTACTGTGTCTGCCTCCATCCTCGCCACGACATTACAAGTCCTCGACGCCGCTGCGGACTTGTGGACCGGCAAGCCTGCCTTCATCGAGACCTTTGCGCCCGCCATCCACGCGTCCAAGCACCTCTCCTCCTCCGCCAAGCTGCCATCCTCCGTCTCTCAGCAAGCCACCAAGCTCGCCACCAAGCTCGAGCGCATGTCGCGCTTAGCGCACATCGCCCGTCGCCCGCTCGAGCTCCATCACCACCGCCGCCTCGCCATCAAGACCTTCATCCCCAAGTTCGAGGAGACGTTCGACCCGGACAAGCACTACGACCACGACAAGGAGCGCGCGGAGCTGGCCAAGCTGCAGAAGGAGCACAAGCGCGAGCGCAAGGGCGCGATGCGGGAGCTGCGCAAGGACGCCAACTTCATGGCGCGCGAGAAGCTCCGCACCAAGATCGCCAAGGACGAGGCGTACGAGAAGAAGTTCAAGCGCCTGGTGGCCGAGATCCAGAGCGAGGAGGGTCGCGAGTCCAACGCGTACGAGAGGGAAAAGGCGGCGCGGAAACGCGCCAACAACCGATAGAAGATGTGGCCATCTTATATGTTGTACATGTGTTGATTGCGGCTTCCTCGTTATACTGGTTATTAGGAGCTAATCTTCACGAGAGGCTTAGTTTCTCATCTACCAATAATATTCCACGAATTAATAATGCCCTATTGCTTTCTTTCAATTTTAAACAAAGGCAGAGAGTCTGAAAGAGCGGAAGAAACTGCCCATGTGCTGTACGTGTGCCGTCAGAGACTTGGTGACTACAGTGTGCTAGTTTTGCGCCACTCGACATGGTAGCATCAATGTCGCAATTACATCTGCAGACATAAATTTCGCATCTATTTATTTATCTATTTCTTCCTTTTCCCATTCAGTAATCTGTCCATCGCTAGACCAGTAATTGTGCTTTCAGCCACGTGCCTCGCACTCTTTGCATCCCCCTTGCTTCCAATAGCAGCGTCCGCCGCTGCAGACGCTGCTGCGGCCGTCGCGACATGAAGCGCCTTGTCTTTGTCGTGTCGTGCACTCACTGCCTCGACGGCGCCCGCCAGCGCTGCCGAAGCAATCGCCTGGCCATAGGGAATTCCTCCGCAATGTCGTTTGGAGTGGCTTTCGTGATTGTTGCGGCTGCGGCGATGCGACTCTGCCAAATCGCGATCTGGGTAGGCGCGTTTGCGGCGAGTAGGGTACTCTTCCCTGCAATGATGGTCATGTAGATGCCCATGAAAACGGCCATGGCCATCACCTTGGTCATGTATCGGGTCACATTGGCGACTGGGCTTGTTGGAAAAAGGGTCGTACTTTCGCAAAAGCCCCCCGACTTTGTCAGAGCCATGCTCAACGTGTCGGTCATTGTAGTGGTCTCTTTCGTTGCCCATGGCGGCGCGTTACAATGGAGGTGCGTATGCCAAACTGGATATATTCAAGTGATGATAGGATAAGTTCCAGGTAGGTCACGTAATTTGTAAACAATTCGCGGCCAGAGTCATTTGGCATTGCAAAGGAGTTAGTCCTAGATATAGGGTTGCTTGCATTTACCATACACGCGTGACTTGGACTTGGATACTGCTAATTGAACGGTAATCTTTACGACAGATTGCATAAATGCTACACCCGTACAGCAAAGCCTTTGTAGTCGCTGACTGGCACATGGAGGTCTGTTGCCAATGTCAGCCTAATAATGCTCACAATGCCTCTCGTGGCCATGCCCTTATACTGCCGATAAAGCATCTTGACATCATACCCATGCGTCCACCATTAAAATCGGCGTTGATGATAACAACGCATCGCGTAAGGCGGCAATGATGATGTCACAGCATCATTGCAGTGGCATTCGAAAAAAAGGCGGGCATTGTATCCCTCGCTCCTCTGAAGTGGCAAGGTGATTAGTAGAGCAGAAACTGGTAATCCATAACTTTTGCATAGCAGAAACTGGTAATCCATACTTGTGGTATGCGAAAAGCCGGATTATGTATTTGTATACCGCCAGGAGCTGCAATCTCCCCCCGGCAGTATTAGAACTGGCGGGTCCTGGCAACAGGGTCAGGAGAGTGTGTTGTATATTTGTCTACCATAACGCTCAACTCCCAGCTTCCATCTCCCAACTCCCTAACTCCCAACTCCCAACTCCCAACTCTATCGCACCAGTTCAAGGATCAAATTCTAATAGTGCATATCAACTCTTGCGAGGCATCCACCTGACTGGCATTTATAGCGTCTTCAAATTGAAAGTTAGCTTAACTCATACTGGGAAACTTTAAACTGACCATCTAACACAAGAAAAGAAACCACTGCGTCCTGGCGGCAAGTCGTCCTTGCGGCGTAGTTTTATCCCACAGTATTTGCCATGATTCCAGTGGCTCGATTCTTCCGTTAGTGCTCGGCGGAGCTTGAGAAAGAAAAAACTTTGAAAACATTAAATATTAAGCATTAAGCATTGAGCATTAAACATTAGCGACCAGAACGGCGGTACATTTAAGAAAGGGGACACTAGAAAAAAAAAATACAACTAGAGATTCGGCTCCTTTTAAGATGTTGAAGCGGTAATAAGCGACCGTTGGCCTGGCGGCGTGATGATTCCGTCATCTATAACACATCATTGTGACAGGGGGGAGACATGGTCGTTGGGGGTGGCAAAGGTGCACGGGGGAACAAATTCGATGAAATTTTAAGCAGTATAATTGGTATGTCTCTTTTCTGATGCGTCTTTTTCTGCTGCAACAAAAGTGCCTCTTTGGTGTTGTGTATCCCGCCTCGCATGGCCTCGTTTGTCTTTTGGTATAGGGTAACTGCCTAGTCTGAAGTTGAATTGCGTACATGGCTGCAGTGTTTGTAGGTGGGCAAAAGCACCGTGGGCGGCCTTTCACCACGCGGTATGGCCGCCATCCACGACTAAATTATTTCCTGAAGTCGTGTTAGTGCATTGTGAGGGTCATATTGCAGAAGCCGAGACTTACCAGTCATGAAACTGCTGGCGCTGCTAATCAGAAACAAAGCCGCCCCCTTGAACTCTCCCGTCGTTGCAAGTCGACCCATCATGTTCTCCCTCGTCCATGTCTTCTCCATTTCGGGGTCCTTTTCAAAGAGCTCCAGCACCATGGGCGTCTCGATGTGACCCGGACTGAGGCAATTGACGCGGATGCCGCCGGTGCCGTCTCGGCGCACCGGGCTCCATTCCATGGCCAGGTTGCGGGCCAGCTGGATCAGAGCCGCCTTGGACGAGTTTTAGACGGGCGAGAGCATGCCCTTGTTGGCGACCAGGCCCGACATGCTCGCGACCATGCATATGCTGCCGCGCGTCTTGTGCTTCATCATGGCCCTGGCCGCCGCCTGCGCCGTCACGAAGACGGCGGTGTAGTTGGTCGCCAGCATGGCCGACACGTCGTGCGCGGCGTAGTCGAGTGCCGCCGTCGTCTGGAGAAAGGCGGCAGCCGCCACGACGCCGTTGAGCCGGCCGTTTTTGTCGGCAATCTGCTCAATGCGCTTCTCCAAGAGGTCCGTGTCTCGCACGTCCTGCTGGCAGTAGAGCAGCTGCCCACCCCATTCGGGAACAACTCTGCTCTGGGCCTCCTCCCATTCCTCATCAGGCTCTTCCTGAATGTCGAAGCAGTATACTGATCAGTCAGAGCTTGTAGTGGTGCAATCAAGACGACGGGTGCTCCTCACCTTGACCGCCCGCCTCGACGAGTGCTTCTGCAATGGCAAGACCCAGCCCTCTGGCGCCTCCTGTGACGATGAATGTCTTTCCACCGAGATCAAAATCAGCAAAGCGCTTGCTGCCAACCGGCTCACTTGTCGGCATAGGTGAAGTCATTGTCGAACAAGGCTCTTTGCAATATATGTGGATTAGATTCTTGAGTTGGATTCAGGAACTTCAGAGAATGAGTTGACGAGCTGACGTTCACACTTGAATGCCTTGCAAACGATGAGGAGATGAAACTGAAGGATGAATGCGCGGCAAGTTACCAGGCAGGTAGTAGAGGCGAATCCCACATCATACCACTCGTAGAAACATCATGCTTGCGTCAACCGTCTACATTATAGTGGCCCAAAATTGGGTATTTAGCTTGACTGGCATTGACAAGGTACTAACCACATATTCTCATGATTCAACATGATTCAAATAGGCATATTACCATTTTGCATCTAGCACTATTTTTTCTGAAGCTGACTTGGCCCACTCTTCATTCTACAATCATGTCTTGGGGACGACTGGCTATTATCTTGGGCGCAGGCGGTGCCTTTCTCGTCGCGTGGGCTGCCGCACGCAGCTTCGACCGTGTACCTCATCAGCAGACTTCCAAGTCCAACCCAGCTAAAGTTATACCAGCTACACAAGCGGACAAAGCGCGCGACATGAGGGATATGGTCTTGTCTGGAGCAGGTGTCGCCAACACAACCGGTGCTGGTGCCGAAAGAAACAATGGCCAGCCAAACTTGCACAAAACGAAAGAGGAGGCTGCTTCTGACGGGTAGCTCTCTCGGCATTTGAATGTACGAATGCAAATATTTGTGAGCCGCTAAAACGTGCAAAACTGATTGGCCACGTATTTTTAGAGTATTAAAAAAAAGGGGTTACGGGGAGAGGAACTACTCCAACGCAGTGCTGAATCAAAGAAAACGTCATCCAGAGTCTCCACAGAGTCGCCAGTATCTGTAACACAGCTACAAGCTCAAACATCTTTGATTTAACTAGTGAGCCTGTCTTGGTGACCGTTTACTAGAGCCCAAACACGAGACCCAAGGTCAAAAGATAGCTACTAATCCAGAGGAAGCCATCAGCCTTCTTAATGTGCTCACGAGCGAACAGATAGCCAGCACCATAGAAGGGCTGCTTGCCGTTGTTCATCGAATGAAATGCAAAGAGAAACACGAGGACCATCTTCAAGCTGGTTTGTGCGAAGGCTGGCAGGGCCTGAAAGCCGGAGACCACTGCTGCACTGTCCAAACCTGCGCCCAAGATTGGCGCCAGCAGATACTGTAGACCAGAAAATACAAGTATGCTGCCCCCGACAAGGCGCATCCAGTGATGCGCATCCAGGCTGATGTTGCAAGATATATCTCATTAAGCTTGTACGCTCCTAGATGAGGCGCGATGGGTCGAATCAAGCGTTGCTTTCGCAAAACCAAATCTCCGTAGCTCGTGCTTGCTTTGATGATTTGAGGCCGCTCCCTATCCATTTCATTAGCCTCCTTTCCCTTTTCTGTATGCATCAGTGTAGTTTTGTATAGTTGATACCACTGCCCAGGACTTGACGACATCAACCTCCAGTAAAGACGTGTAGCTGGCGCCGGTTCAGCCATGACAGCGCCAGCCGATGCGCCGCAGAAGCGATTTGTCTTGAGGGGGTTGAAGGGGGCAATGCCCTGTCCGCGACAGCGCAACATGGAGCGCTGCCAATAAGGAACTCCTAGGCTCTGCATTTTGGGGGGGATCGTCTTATCAGCTTTGAAAAGTAGTGTCAGAAACGGCTGCAAGAAGAAGCCATGCAAAAGTGCCGTTGTGCAGGCTCCAGTTGATTGTGTCATTCTGATTGCATCGCATGATCACGTATGTCTGGTACGCAGTAGAGAGATATTATCGCTCCAACCAAAGGAAACTTAAAGTAAAAAATAATCATTTTAGATCAACACGTGTAAAAGGGCGTCATCTACTAACACAGGCATCATCACCCCGTCAGTCCAGTGGTCCGTTAGACGTGCTTGCCACGTGGTATGAGGGACAAATACACAGTCGACTACCCATGGAATAAGGATATACCCCCTGCTAGCTGGGATTCTTTTGCTGCATTGAGCTAAAGTACCGGTGTTCTTTGTGTATATTACTGGAGTATTAGATCGTCCAATCATATTCATAACGAAGCCACATATGGGAATGATAGCTGACACACGTCACTACATGCAGATGGTTGCACAACTACCACTACGCTACAATGCTATATACGTTTCCAGATTCTCAGAATGCATGTCAGGATAGAGTCAGGTTGTCGTCACGAGAAAGAGTTGAGCCCACACTGTCTCGAAATTGCTCATGTAGCTCTCCACGGTCGTTGAAATTGCTTGCTGCTGTCACTGAGTGGTGTAGTATATGTTTAGGTGACGCCAACCACTTTATCCCGCGTCCAACTTCCCATTCAATCAAAGCATTCTATCAAAATACCATTGACATACCAAGCAAGTCAATATAAAAAGAGAACGAGAACTAGAATCTATTATAGTTACTCTTTAGAGGATAAATACATTTAACCCTACTATACTCTTTAATCTACTTAAATAGCTAGTAATAAAAGAAACCTATATATAAAAAAGTACTTTATAATAAATATACTATACTAAGAATATATAATAATCTTATAGACTTTATACTATTATAATAGTTATAGATAATACTTTTAGAAGAAACTTAAATATAAGTGGTTTTTAAATAACTATACTTTCTTAATTATAGACTTTATTTAGAAACTAACCTCTATTATTTAATAATTTAAAAGAAATATACTTTAAAACTTATTCTTTAAAAGAATAAAGAATATTATTATATTAAAAATAAAAACCTATATACTATCTATATTATAACCTTATAATATAAGAATAGAAGAAAGTATATTATAAAGAAGAACTTATTTAGTCTAAGTCTAATTAATATAAAAAGTAAATAACTAGATTATAATCTAGTTTCTATAGAATAAATAAAAGACTATTATTAATATAAATACTAAAAAGAATATATAAAAAGAAAAATAGACTAATACTAATAGAATAAATTACTATTAGAATAAGTAACTAAAGAAAAAACTAAAGAATTAAAAAATAATAACTATTATTACTATTAAAACTAATTTATTAATAAGGATTTAATTATTAAAGACTAGCTCTATAGCTACTATAAGTAAGTATTAATATAAGGTTAAATTAAATCTCTTATAGAGAGAAGAGATAAGGAGGTTATAATAAAGTAGCTACTATATATATATTAGGGTCCTATTAGGGCACCTATTAGAGCCCCTATATTATATGTATTAGGTGTGTATAAGCACCTATATAATAGTAAGCTACTACTAAGCTCTCTATAAGGAGGTAGTAATAATTCTATCTTTATAAAAATATAAAAGGGATTATTATATAACTAGAGTCCTCTAAGTGAAGTACCTTATAGGATTATTACTACTACTTAGTATATAGGAAGCTAGACTACTTATAGTATAATAACTAAATAGATAACTTCTTCTTTATAACCTAATAATAAACACACTATAAGTAGTATATAAGTCTTATCCTTTATTTAATTAGACTTAATAGATAGTATTAGAACTATAGTTATTAATATAATGTCTATAGAAGAGATATAAATTAGTATTTAATATATAATAGAAGAGTAAAAATAAGTGTAACTTATAGTATACTATAAATAGATAATAAAAGACTAATACATTATAGTAATACTAGAATTAGAAACCCTTTTAAAGGAGTAACCTTATAGAAAATATATAGTAATAATAAAACTACTTAGTATAGTGTTTAGTATAAAGTTATTCTAAGAATATATTAGTTTTATTATTATACTATAAATACACTTTTAAGTATACTTAGAAGACTATATAGAAGATATTAAGAAGGTTATATACACTATATAGTACTTATAAAGAAAAGTATAAATATAATAGGCTTACTTTTTTATAATAAACTTATATAGGAGCTATTAAGGGTTCACTTAGGAGAATTTTAATATTTAGTATAAAGAAGAGCTTAGTAACACTAATATAAGAGTATAATAAACTATTTATAAGATAATAAAGTATAAATAAGAGGGTAATAAGCTAATAAGGAGGTATCTTCACTATATAGAAAATATAGTAATAGAACTACTAGATCTATTACCCTTTACTTTTTATATTACTTTAGTATTAGAAGGCTTAAGTGGTTAAATTTAGATAGTAATAAATAGTAGTAGTGTACTAGATATATAGAAGCAACTAGAGTCCTATATAGAGAATATAGAGAGAGTAGTAGGCGCATTTAATAGAAAGGAGATAGGATAGTAATTATATTTTATATTAGTAATAGAAGAGTCTTAATAAGGTGGTTACTAACTCCTAATAGAGATATAGTAAGAATATAAAGAAACGTCTTAGGGTTATTTTAAATATAGGGCTAAACACTTATAGTAGGATTATACTATACTAGACTATATAATTTATAGGGCCTTTAACTATATAATAGAGAAGTACTATAGTTAACTAAAAAGAGTAAGAGTAAAGTAGCTACTAACTAATAAAGATATAGTAATATACTTAAATAATAGTCTAGTAAAGAGGCACTAATTAGAAGAAAAATAGGATAATATTTACTACTACCTTTATTCTAAATATAAATAACTAATAAAACTATAATAAAGTAGTAACTAGTAAGAAGTAATAGTATTATTAAATAGTAATAATAACTTAAATATAATAGATAGAAGTATAGTAAAGAGGGAGTAAGACTATAGTTATAATAGTGGCTTAATCCTAATCTATAGTTAGTCTATTTCTTAAGTAGAGAGTCGGTTTAAGTGTATAAGTGTATATAAGTAGTTATTATAGTATAAGTTATATTAGGAGATGTCTCCTAATAGTAGAGCTATTACTTAGATTAATTAGTAGAGATCTAGACTATCTAGCTATAGGAATACCTCCTCCTTAAGTACTTATCTACCTCTCTACTATAACTCTAGATTAGAAGGCTTAACCTTTAATCCCCTAGATCCTATTCTTAGATTAATAGTTTAATAGCTTAAGTCTTTAATCCTAAGGAGATTATATAATCTCTTATCCT